CATACCTACTTAAGTTTATAACCCAGTCATCAAATATAACAAAGAGCATAAAAACAAAAACAAGTAATAATAAAGTAACCCAATTTTAAATCAAATTTAATAACTAATCTACATGAAAACTAAGATTAATTAATATGTTACTATTTTATTACTTAGATAGGGTCATGGCACTACTTATGGCCACATTAAGGCAAAAATGCTTTTGTGGGGTCCGTTTTTCAATAATATTGTAACAGAAAAAATAAATAGAAAATAATATTTGATAGGTTAAAGTATATAGTTTTCAACAGTATATGCATCTACTTTGTTAAAAGTATGTAATTCTTTTTTACATTTTTTTTAAGTGATAGAAATTCTTTATTTTTAGCCATCAGTCCGCCACTAGTTCTCTACTTATGGCCACTAATTTTTAAGTTGCATTTTTAAATATTAATTTAAGTGAATGTTTATTTACATGTATGTACCCAGTAGTGATTTAGAATAAGTAGGGTATAACAAATTAAAATTTTTGCTAAAATATGAAATTTATTTTTCATGAACATTTGGGAAGGTGAGACCGAGACCGACTTCAAGCGCAAAGTAACAGCGAAGCAGACCAAAAATGGCCTCTAAACGTCTAAACACATATGGTACCTTAACACTTCCCAAAAATGTTATAACCAAATTTTAACCTTGTTCTACTAGAGAATGCTCGGTTAACAGTCCTAAAACATCAGATATGAAAACAGTGAAACTCTCATTTTTAATATATATCCAAACGTAGTTTTTTCTTTGTGCTTTTTAAACACTAGATTCCTATTTCATTCTCCATAGTTTGGCGAACAATATATTTATGCACGGTCAATCTTCTTTTGCCACAGGCACTAAATTGTACCAATATATAGTCACCTGGTTTTAATGTTTTGCCTAACTGCATAATCACTGCTGGTTTTATATCTAAGAAACTACCACTGCTGTTAGATGCCAGTGACATTTCATCTTAGCTAAAAAACCAAGTAACTCCCACAATCCATACAATAACTGCGGTGGCCATAACTCACGAATTCTTAATTTCTTGTCATTACTAGTGGCCACACTGATATTTATTTTTATTTAAAAAAAAATATGATGTTCATAACAAAATACATTGGGTATTACAATACTTACCTTTGGAATGGAAAGTTTTCAAAAATATCTGTAATAAATCTAAGGTTTGTCCCAATGTTTACAGATAAATTCTTAGCCAAAACAACAAGTAATGCTTGCATGTATTACACATGCTAACTATTTATTTTACTGATTTCCAATGGACTTGGTTTATTAGTTGCAAACCTGCCCAATCATGTAACCATATGCTCATTTACTTTCTCCAACCACCATTTTTGTTTATAATGTTTCAAAACGTTTATTTTTAGGTCTTAAAGCAAAAAGTGGCCACAAGCAAGGTAGTGGCCACAAGTAGTGCCATGACCCTATTTATTTGATTAAAGTAATTTTATTTCTATTTTCAACAAAGTTCTCTTTGTTGTTTTATTCAACATAAGAATCTGTAACAAATTGTACAACTACCAATTGAAAATGACCTATGGATTATGCTAGGTTTTCATGTAATCTCAGTGAATACTCCATTCATAATCTGTAAGTATAATGGTCCTATATTGGTCCTAATACAGAAATCAATTTGATTTGATAGTAGTCATAAAAAAAATGCAGTTATCTCAACTCTCTACAAGTAAAAAAGTTGCCTCTCTCTTGTATTTTAATCCTGAATTCCAACCGAGTATACAGATCAATAATATAACGTAACTAATATTTGTACACACATTCAAATAGTTCATGATTATTAATCAAGAAAATAATCTATTACATTCTATTCAAATTGATTCGATTAATGAAGTCATTGATGCTGCTAATATAATAAATAAAATTAATGTAAATGAAAAACTCCTAAATGTTTTACATTTCAATATTAGGAGTGTTAAAAAGAATTTTGATGAGTTGTTAGTCTTTCTAGAAAGTTATAAAATTAATTATTGTGATATAATAGTTTTGACTGAATGTTTCCAATTAGAATCTATTTCTCAATTTAACCTAGATGGCTTCACCACCCACTATAACAATGGTGTTGTAATTTTGGTCAGGTCAAATCTAAATGCAGAATTAAATATAGTTAAACTGGAATATTCTGATATTTGTGTCACTAAAATAAATCTAAAAGTCAATCATCGGACCATTGGCATTACAGGTGTATACAGGTCTCCTCAAACCTCTGCACAAGCATTTATAAGGGATTTAGAAAATGTAATACCAAATCACCTAAATAGAAATATTGAAATATTCATAGGAGACATTAATATTGATCTCCAAAATGTAACCAATCAAGTAACTACTGATTACCAAGCAACTTTTTACTCCCATGATTTCATGTCTTACATAAACACTATTACAAAGTAAAACATGCTTGGATCATATATTCTTAAAAAACAATATTAAGACTGAAAATCTATCAGTGAACTCTTATGTAATCAGCTATGATATGACTGATCATGGTCTTATTGTGATAAATATCTCACAATCTGCCAAAAACTACACAAGTTCTTACAATACATATAAAACTATAACTAAAATCGATAGTGATAAATTAAAACAAAAATTCGAAACTGTAAACTGGGAAAGTGTTTGTAATGAAAATAATCCAGAAATTGCAACACAACTTTTTTATGACATGTATCTAAATATCATGGAAACATGTCAAACCACTCAAAATATTAAAATTAAAATCCATAAAAAATAAAGCCATGGATAACAAATGGTTTAATTAATTCTATTAAAACTAGGGATAAACTTAAAAAAGATCTACAAAAAACTATACTATTAACAAACAAACTCACTAAAAACATTTAGAAATAATTTAAACAAACTAGTATCAAAAACTAAAAATGACTATTATAACAATAAAATAAACCAAAACAAAAATGATCTGAAAAAAATTTATCAAATAATCTCTTAAGCAACTAATGAAAATCATAAAAAAAAAATACCAATTTACAGATTGTTAACCAACATAATGAGGAATTTGAAAATGATAATGAAATGGTGAATTACTGCAATAACTACTTTTCAACTATGTTAACAAATATCCCTGAATGTAATGTGGATTTTCCTGTGTCACTGAAAAATCAATGTTTCTGAAACCAATATGCAAATACATTATAAAACACATAAATAGTTTAAAAAACAATAGTGCCGCAGGATTTGATTGTATAACAGTAAAATATCTGAAACTACTACATCCGTATTTACTGGAACCTTTAATGCATATAATTAATTGTATTTTTAATACAGGAATCGTACCTAAACAATTTAAAACTTCAATTATAACACCTATTTACAAAGCTGGTAATCCAAAATTAATAACTAACTATAGACCTATTAGTTTAATTAGTAATGTGGCCAAAATATTTGAGAAATGTGTAAAAGATAGACTGTTTTAAAAACTAATGACTTACTTCCCAAGCACCAATATGGCTTTACTGAGGGTCTTAACTCAGGAGATGCTATGCATGAATTGATTTCATATGTTACTGATGAAATGAATACTGGTAACAAGTGTATATTTCTAGATCTAGAAAAAGCATCTGACATGGTGCCATATCAGAAGCTCTTAAATGTTCTTGAACAGAATGGAGTGAGGGGCATCGTGTTGAAGGTTTTTAAAAATTATTTGACACACAGACAACAGAAGGTAAAGGTCAGAGACAATGTGAGTAACCCTGAAAATATATAAATCGGAGTGCCTAAAGGGACTGTTCTAGGACCTATACTATTTAATTTATACATTAAGAGCTTAACTCAGATTGATATTCAAGGTAAAGTTGTATCATATGCTGGTGATACAGTGCTAGTCTTCAGTGTTAAAGATTGGGAAGCCTTCAAAACACGTGCTATAGCTGGAATGGAACATATCAAAAACTGGCTGGATGTTTTTAAATTTTCTTTAATGTTAACACAACAAACTACATTGCTTTTTCAAAGACAGTGGCTGATCGACCTCAATTTAGAAGCTTAACATGTCAAAATTTAGACATACAGGAAACAGAAACATCCAAATATTTAGGTATAATTCTAGATCAGCACTTAAAATGGGATTGCCATATAACATATATAGCAAAAAAAACTTAGATTTCTGATTTATAAATTTTGTCTTCTAAAACAATTTCTCAACCAGGATCTACTAATAACATTATACTACAGTCTAGTAGAATCTATACTACAGTATGGAATCTTAGTATGGGGAGGCCTGTATGGAACTACATTAAATCAGTTAAATGTTATTCAAAACAAAATCTTGAAGTTAATATATAAAATAGATAGATTGTGTCCCACCATAACTTTATATAATGAAAAAATTAGCAACAGTGTGTTGTTATATACAAAAAAATTAATTTTTAAAAAACCCTTTAGAACATAGACATACACTAGAACTGCATCGAACATGTGCATTAAAGTACCAAAACCAAATAGTGAGTTTTTTAACAGTGTAAATTATCTAGGGACAAAGTTCTATAATGCTCTACCTCTTCATATAAAATTATTAAACAAATATAAAAAAATTCTGTAAAGTTAGCAAAATATACATTTCCCAAAATAATGCAAAGTTAAAAATTTTTTTTATTTCCTTAATAATTCATTAAATATAATTAAAATAAAATTTTAATTTTTGTCAGCACATACAGGTGTTCTCACCTAGGTGCTTGTTATTATATAATTGGTTTCCATTATTGTACTTTATTGTATCTTATTTATTATTGTAACTCATTGTAACTTATAACTATTAACTATTGCCAATTTGTGAAAAATAGGAGTTTATTCTTATCCACATACATCAATTTTTTTTAAATTTTTGTAATAATATACTTCAGTAGATATATTAATTTTTAAATTGAAGTAACATACAGAAAAAGAATTATAATCTGAAATTTGTAGAATAAAGTATGGCAATAAGAAAAATGCAAACTTACCAATGCCATCTTTTTGTATAGGTATAACAGAAGGGTCTGTATTGCTGTGATAAGCGATTGGTGTCTTTAAAACTAATCCAGGATGCTTAATAGGCTTAATTTTTCTAGTTGGACAAGGCAGTGTTTGAGTAGAAGTTGTAATCATATATACAGGATTGGAACTATCTTCATCCATATAACTGGAATCGTTACTTTCATTCTTCATATCAAGGTAGTGCATCATGTCATAATTTTCCATAGTATCCTAAATAAAAAATGTTTTAACTATCAACTGCATAAACATTTATTTTGAAACAATAGAAAGCTTATAAGTTAATTAATAATTAATGACTGCATCACTTTCCATTTGCTTTAAATCAAAATAACTTACCATGTGAGAACTATGTACAGCATGCATATCTTCTATGGATTGATTGGACAGACTGTGGTGTGATGGTGTATAATACATATTTTCATGTTCTAACATCATATCACTACTATCTCCAGGCATAAGTCCTCCTATGGGCATATCTCCGGAGGACTGCCCAGCCCCCATCCAAACCATTCCCATTTCTGCTACACCTGGCATAGTATTGTATACTAAAATTTAATTATCATATTTAATACAACACATGTGTAAAATGAATTGATTGCGTGTACATTTATGGAAACAATATTAAAACTAATAGAAATATAGTCTAGCGGTAGATAATTATACAGTCACAAAGAAAGCATTATTACGAATTCCAAACAGCATATAGAATTTTGAACAAAATGTTTTACTTACCATTCATATTTGAATAATTTGGATTTAAACGTGCCATATAAGTTTAATTCATAGTTTTGTACTTATCAAGTAAATAAATAAATAAATACACAAATCAATCGCAAACGAAAAGCATAAGTTCGGACTTCATTGTTGGTCAGGGTCATTTCAGTGTAACCAATGCATCACCAAATTACCCTAAATTAAAAATTGCAAGAAATAGAATCAAAACTAATTAATTTAAACTAAAATAGAACTCTTAAAGAAATCTAAATGTTCCGTTTCAAGAATTATCCCGTAACTCATTTTTTAAGTGGTTAAAACATGGTTAAAAATATACTAAAACAAATTCTTCCAAAAACAATTATTTTGGTAACACTGACTGTAACTGTCAATGTCATTTTTTGATTTATCATGTTTATCCATAGATGTTTAGCATAGATAGTTTTATACTTAGTTCTCATCATTATTAGACAACTCATTACATAACAGAGATTTACTTATTTAAATTTTCCTTGAGATTTTCAAAATCGCTTTTAAAGATATACACTGAATTCAAAATAAATTATATTACGTTTTTAAATGTTGCCGCTCATGTAATGGCAATAGTTGGCATTACTGTAACTTACGAGGGAAATTAAAATGATTCCATTTTTATTTAAATTCATAATTAAAATAGTTACCAAGGTCAAACCTCGAGTCTCATCACTTCAGTCTCTTCAAAACCTGGTTTTGGAAAATCATTCTAATTTGACTACCACATTAAACTTCTCAAATAACGCATTCATAACTTTTTTAAAAAGTAGCAAATTTGGAACACCGAGTGACACAGATCAAGGCTTCTACCCATCTTCTACCTCAAAAATATACACGGTGATCCATTTAAAAAAAGTAATGGCATTTATCCGGTCTATTTTAAGTGTCAATTTAAAATTATGTCTAGTAGGTTTGTCGCAAATTTGATACAAATCGCCCTCCGATAAAAGAGATATATTAAGGTGTGGACTGGTCTCATTGTCACCTATATATGCCGCGTTTGAGAATCCACATCGGATGCATCTGAGATGTAGTAAATCTTTGATAACGTGATTCAGTATACGTAAATGTAATGGGACAGATCCCAGACAGCACACCAAATCCTTTGGATATCTACTGAATATCCCAATATCCACTGAATGTCCAGTCCATGGTGGATATCTATTTTATATCCATGAAATGTAATTTATAGACATGCAAATGTCCATAAATAATTGTAATTATATAGCAAATTATTAAAAAATTACGCCATTGTACTCGCCATTGTGGCTAATAGTACCGTTGAGATATTTAAAATTATTTTTTTTAAGGTGTATTCAATATCCCATGGACATCCACTATAAATATATCAAAGTCTAAGCGCGGACGCAAACCATCGTGGATATCTACTAGATGTAATTTTTGATTTTGCTTCCTAAGTATAGATGGCGATACCACTTTCGTATCTACTCATGCTTAACCCGCCGTAATTGAGTTTGATCGACATTGTTTCACAAACAGACTTCATTAGAGACTGAAGTCGAGAAGTTCCATTTATTGCTAAAGATTCCTAATAAGGATGATTTTCTCCTTAGTAGGCAAAATCAAAGGCAGATTGTTGGGAATATTTTTTACCTCTATTTTCTTTCGACGTTATTCAATAACCATTGGAAATTATGAACCTCTACTAAAAATAATTATAAAATATTTATCTGAATTTCTATATCCTGGGATATAGACGGACATTTGGTTGGATATCCACAAAATATATTCTATGGATATATCTGGGATTTCTTGTATTGTCTGGAGATACTCATTAGATATTTTGCTGAATATCCATATGATATCTTCTATATTCTGGATATAGACGGACATTTGGATATCCATATTAGTTCCACGGAATATTTCTGATATCCTGTGGATATATTGGATATCCACAAAATATATTCTGTGGATATCTCTGGGATTTGGTGTGTTGTCTGGGATGTGTCCGATGAGGATAAAAAAACGCTCGAGATGTAAATAATGCATCCGATGTGGATTCTCAAACGCGGCAAATGTACTGTTATGTGAGCCATTTCATTATTCAGTCATGCTCTAACCCTACAAGTCCCTCTCTGTCTTATTTGGCCTTTGAGGCTCAACTTGTCCGATTATTATACATAATTAAACCCCTTAAGACCAAACCTATGGGACGACTATGGCGGAGGTGATTTCGATGACTATTCGAGAAAGGACGAGATAATATTTCTGGTCTGTTCCAAATATTTTGGTGGAGGAGCTTCTAGACTCCACCAAACTTTAGAAATTTGTATATAAATATTGGTGGAAGAACACAGTGCAGTCAGTTATTATATGAACAGTGAAGATAAATAGTAATTAGTAGATAGACAGTGGTGAATATAAATAGTGATCAGTTTAAAGACATTCGAAGTATATATAAATTAGAACAGTTGTGTTATAAAATAAATAAGTGTTTAAATAAATTATTAAGAAATAAACAGTTGTTTAAAATACACAAACGTCACAGTACATATTACTAACATCTTTTAATGACAATAAATGCAACACGAATGGATATGATGACCATATCGCATGAAGAAAAAGTTCACTCGAGTTGAAAATAAATTTTTGTCTACGACCCCTAACGAAAATCTACAAATTTTAAAAATTATTCATTACTTTTACTAATTTATAAAATATATTTTTTTATTTAAGGTAGTTCACTCGCGACAGTCGTACATAAAAATATCGCATAATGGTGTAAATTACACCACCTTTTATTAAACTAGTTTACTTCCTCCCTATACACATGTCAAGTGTAATTCACGCATGCTAAATGTCTGGTGGAAGGTGTAGTGGATTTTAGATCGGGCTAAACGAAAGGTTTAGTGTTAGAGACGTTTAAGGAAAAAAGGTGGGAAATCATCCCATTTAAAAACTACTATATATATTTATTAAAACAAAAGCTGCAAATTTTAATAGATTTAATACAGAATGGCGCGTAAATATTTTTTTTTTTTACAAAAAATTACAAGTTTTATTATTAGTATTTTCTGAAAATTTCATAAAAATCGGACTAAAAATGAAGTCTCAGAATGAATTATAAATTTTCGAGGTGTCTCGTTTGCTCTTAAGTAATTCATTAAAAATGTCCACTTATACAGGAAAATTACATCAACCACGTTACACAGACTAACGGTATGTTCCTGCTTGTATAATCTAAGGTTCCTGCGCATGCTGCTGACTGACGGTGACGTCACGTGGGACAGAATTATAAGCATTAAATGGAAGGTAGTGTTTAAAATTCGATATTTTACCAATTTTAGATTTTATGCGGTTACTTTAGTTTTATTGGTTATTCTGTAATATATTCGTTAACAAATATGAAGGTTTAAGGTAAATAATACTAATAAAAATATTAATTTTTCTCATAAATTATAGGTATTTTGTGACAAAATCCATAACCTGGTCATAAGATAAGTAAAAAATATAGACTAAAATTACAAGTTTGACTCAAATTTATACTTTGTTGGCGCAGTAGTTCTCTTGCAATCTCTTTTCTTATTATGTGAAATAAAAATAAGTCTGCAGAAAAAAATTATTTATTTACAAAAAGCAAGTACACAAAAACATTACTTTTTATTTGGTAAACATTTTTTGTCAAGTTTACTTTGAAAATACTCAAAACCAATTTTCCTGTTCATTTATTTTATTCTTATATATATTCGTGTCTTGCTCATGCATGGCATTACTTCAAAAGGGCCGTTAATTGTATTGGGACAGGAACCTACTGTTATATATCTGCTAAAATTTTTAAATACTGATTTATTTTCTTTGCTTAATAAGGCCCGTGCACCTGGTGGAATTCTGTTTCCTTTTCTTGTTTAAGAGGAATTTCACAACTACTTTCCTCAAAATGGATAGGGCAATTTCAATTAAGTTTGTCCTTTCTTCGATAAGAATTTACCCATATTTTGTGGCATTCGGAAATATCTCCACTGCGCAGCCGGGCTTTTTAAACATTAATTTAGTTCTTCCCTGTTATATATAGGAAAATATAGTAACCACTAACACAAAAACATATAAATTATTTTACACTACTCAATCGAAAAGTGTCAAAATAACTTGAAAGTTCGTCCCGCATTACGTCATGCACGGTTTGGACGCATTTTGAATCGAAAGTCAGCATACCTTCAGTATGTGTATCCTGACAGCAACGTTCTTGATTTAAATGGGACACCCCGTATATATTTTAATATTTGTAAAATTCAGAATATTCTTATTCTACACACTTTTTACAATTTACTAAGCCTTTTCTTGATAAACACGATAGCTGTCTGATATGTCCAAGGTAAACATTCTCATTATGTGGTGCAGGAGCTCCATCCTGTAGCCAAAACATTTTCTAAGAGCCGCGACGACCATTAAATAATTTTTTTGTGCAGTGAATGTGAAACAGGTTTTTGGAAAGTTCAAGAACTAACTAAAGAATCAAAGCAAGTAAAAATTAACATTGAAAAACTTAAAAATAAGGCATCTGATCAAAATAACGAAAAAGATGCAACTTCAAATGTAGCTAAAATTAACAGCAAAGAACTAATGATGGAGGTGGCGGAAAGACAGAAGAGGGCATCAAACATTATTATATTAAATGTAAATGAATCGAAACAAAAAATAGTTGCAAATAAAATAAGAGAAAATAAAGACTAAAGAATTGCTAAAAGATATTGATGTTGATATTACAAATATAAGGGTGTTCAGACTGGGCAAAGACCAAAACAAAAATAGCCCACTAAAAGTTTGTTTTCGCAGTCCACAAGAAGCTCTTAAGGTGTTAAAGATGAAAAAGGAGATAAAAATTCCAACTATTAAAAATTTTCCTGATCAAACAAAAGCGCAGAGTACTTCTTTAATGGCAAAAGGAAGCTGCAGGAATATTTCAATTGTTGATAGCAATGCATCTACCCAAAACAAACAAAAAACTAGTAAATGGTCTTAATATATCTTTTAGAAATGATATAATTTATATGAATGTATAGAGTTTTTTGGCATACCAGGATGAAGTTTTAGTAGAAATGTTTTGCCATCAGCCATCTATAGTTATATTAAGTGAAGCAGGATGTACAGATGATATCCAAGATGTTGAAATTGCAGTATGTGTAAGATGTAATTCTTCAAATCGACACACGGGAGGAGTACTTATTTATCTGCAGAACAACATTACTTTTAGTGTGAAAAAGGAAGATATTCTTGTGCCAAATTATTGGTGTAAAATTGTTAACGTTAATTTTGATAAAACTAAATGGTTGATTGGTGGTTTTTACCATTCGCCCAGTTCCAGTGATGCGGTCTTTATAGATAAAATTGAAGAATGGTGCGAAGATTTCTTATCGGGAAACATTAAAGCTTTAATTGTGGGTGATATTAATATTGATTATTTTGTAGATAGTTTGTATAGCAAAAAGATAAAAAGTTTAATTCAGTCTTATGGCATTGAACAACATGTAAATGATTATACCAGAATAAGTGTGGACAGTTCGACATTAATCAATTATGTTTTATCAAATCAAAATATTTCTGTAAGTGTTAATCATTTTTCTAAAATAACAGATCATTCGATTATAAGTATTAATTTTGAGAAAAATGTGGATTAAGTGAATGAATTAAATTTTTTCTCTAGAAAATTAAATGTAGATAAATATTATGAGATAAATTTAGAATTAATATCATGTGACTGGTTATTTGACTAAAATAATATAAATGAAATTTTTACTCAACTGGAAAGTAATTGTAGTAGAGTTTTAAACATTGTTGCACCTATTACAGAGATACAGATAAAGAAAAATCATGTTCCATGGTATGATAAGGAAGTAAAAGTACCAGCCAGAGAGAGGGATAAAGTGTACAAAAAGTTTCAAAGAGCCTTAGGTCCAGATAAAAATGTATTGTGGAATGAATACAAAAATAAAAGAAATATAGTTGTTAATTCATTTTATGAACATATAAATAATTCTAAGGAAATGTGGAAAACACTGAAAAAATTAATTAAAAGTAAAAATATGGAAATTAAATTTGACTCTGTTGGGTTTTCTGTTGATGGATCATCTTTCGCTAAAACGGAAGAAGAAGCAGCAAACAAATTAAATATTTTTTTTTGTAAATAGTATATGTGAAATAACAAATTCAATACCTTCAACTGATGATTGGTCACCAAATTTTTTAAATGATATTCAATCAACATTAACTGATTTTAAATTAATTACATTAAATCAACTAAAAAAAAGCTGTTTTTTCGTTAAAAAATAAGGGAAGCTATGATGAGATATAGGGGTCTATTCTGTAACAATTCCTTTATATTTAACGGCCTTTAAAAATAGTTTCTTATTCGTTAATTTACTTCTATCATTATTTAAACAGATTTCTTTAAGATAGTCCTCTAATGTATTTTAAAGATCCGTTTAAATAATGACAGAAGGAGAAAATATTTTTAAAGGCCGTTAAATATAAAGGAATTGTTACAGAATAGACCCCATTGAGTGCTAAATTTTTAAAGGAAACCTTTTATACAACATTTCCTGATAGACTAAAGGCAGAGAGGTAAAAGCAAGCAAGATAGTTCCAGTCCAAAAAATTGCAAACGATACAAATGCATCCAACTTGCGACCTATAAATATACTTCTCGACGATTGAAAAATTATTAAAAACCGTAGTTCGTGACCAAATATTAGAATACTTTAATAACAATGGTTAACTATATCTAAACGGAAGCAAGTACTTGATGAAAATAAATATATAATAGCAGTTTTTCTAGATTTTAAACGAGCTTTTGAGACAATAGATCGTAAAATTTTTATTAATAAATTGAAATATTATGGTTTTGCAGGACGACCTGGTTTGAACAGTATATGACTGATAGAGTACAATGTGTAAAGCTAGGTAAATCAACATCTGAAATGCTAAAAAATAACTTAGGTGTACCGCAAGGAAGTATATTATGGCCGCTTCTATTTATCATATATTTAAATGATATTAATTATATTGAGTGTGACTTTATTAATCTACTTGCAGATGATACACTGGTAGCATGTTATGGGTATAACCTTGAGGAAATTTTAAATAAACCGAATAATATATTGAGAGTCTTAACCCAGTTTTTAAATAATACTAAAAAAACGAAAGCAATGATTTTGGGAAGTAAATATAAATTAAATAAACTATAATAGATACAACATTAGAATTGAAAATGAGAATGTTGAATGGGTTAATGAATTTAAATACTTTATTGAAACTTCACTGCAAATATGTATGCAAAAAAATATCAAAAAAGCTATTTTTCTACTCAAGGATTGCTTCAAATCTCTCTCCCTTTTTTCTATATTAACAGTGTATAAAACTATTATACAACCTCATTTTGACTACTGCGGATCGTTACTTTATAAAATGGATAATAGCTGTTTACAAAGACTACAAAATAGAGGAATGAGAATAATCCTTCGATGTAACAGATACACACCAATAAATGGTATGCTGACCACTTTAAGTTGGATTTCAGTCAGACAAAGATTTTATTATTTAGCAATGACTTTTGTTTATAAAGCAAAAAATAAAAAACTTCTTGAGTACTTCAATGATTATATCATCTACAATAATGAAATACATAACACAAGATCTGTTAATAATTTTTATATTCCACAAACAAGACTAGCTATAGCAACAAAATCTATTTGTATAAAGATTACGTGAATTTAATGATTTGCCTAGTGAAATTAAAACGAGTACCTCTCTACCTCAGTTTAAAAAAAATGTTTAATACAATTTATTTCCAGTCCGTAAATTAAATTAACTAAATTAACTTTGTATGTTTACTTTAATATGTATTTATTTTAACTTTAGTACTAAACGTCTTACTTTTATTACTAATTCTATCAAGATTTTATTTATGGAACTGAATTTGTGGAGGCTGACGATAATATGTAATATTTAAAAAAAAACTACTATGTATTAGGATTTCCTATATTAAATAAAGATTCTTCTTCTTCTACAAGTAACGTTGTGCTATTGAATGCATGAAGATTTTCTACCGCAATCTCATTTTATAGTATTATCAAACATATCTTCCTTTTCTTAGAAAATTAAAAGGTTAAATAAATTCAAATCAAATTTAACAGGTAGAAATTTATTTGGTTCTATATTAAAATTAATTATATAATGTCACACGTAATCACTATAACTTTTACATTTTTAATAATGTATACAAAACATTTCATTAACATAGATAATATTCATTATAATACCGCCCGCTGCTATAGCTAATAGCTATAAAATCAATACCTTACTTTTTATGATCACAGTAAATATACAAAAGCTGTGAGCATACAACGCAGACTGTATCTTCATGAACAAAATCCAAAAGTGACTGTAAATTATTTTAGTGGTCCTGATAAATATTTCATTTGATTATTTGGGTGATGTTACACATTAAATATGAAAGTTGAGACTAACATAGATAATATTTAGTCTAGGTTTTACAAAATTATTTTTTTTTTGGATCACTTCCTCATATTTTATCCGTATTTATTTATATAAATGGGATTTTATTGCAACTTGAGGTAATACAAGTAATTTTTAATGTTTTTCCCTGAGAATGAACAGTTAATAACAAAAGCAGAAACTGCTTTTTATCAAAATACTCACCCATTTTTCTAAAAACAAAAAAAAAACAGTACATTTCATAGTTTATACACCATTAATTTCATAGTTTTTTAATATGACTAAAAAAAAAAAAACATGAAATCATTAATCAGGAACACTCCTACATACTAAAAAATTATAATATTCCATTCTGTTGGGGAGTAATTTGTGTGATCTTTATTAACGAAATAATATTTTTTTTATTTTCAATAATTTTATATAATGTAGTAACCGCGCATTTATTGAAACCAACTGTGTAAATGTTCAGTGTTTTAAAGTGCTATTTACAGGAAAATAAATAAAAACCAATGAAGACTTGCAAAGCTACACAATTTATATAATCAAGCACGAATTAGTAACTTTATTAAAGCTAAGAGGTTGCAATTGACAGACAGATCTTTTAAAGTGTAAAATGTGATAGCAATAAGAAAAATGTAGAAGGCTTAAGAAAAAACACATCGGATAAATAAATGCAAGCGAGTCACCATGGCATAAGCTTATATGAAAAACCTATATTTTTAGTTACTTGAAATTTGAATAAAAACGATATTTTTTAAATTCATCTTTATCTCAAAACAATTTAAAATTAATGCATTTCAAATAACTAATACATAAGGATGAATCAATTAAAAGCACAAAATTCTATACTCACAGGCGGTTGCAAGAATGTTCATTAAAAGTTAGGAGACAGATAAACTTTGACAGGGTTCATGATATGTCAAAGTCTAAACATCTGTCAAAGTTTATCAGGCTACTAAATTGTATTGAATGTTCCTGCAACAGGCTGTTAGTATTTTCCTGATGGAGCTAAATATACGTCCATCTTATATAGCTCAGTTTTTTTGAGGAAAAGCCATTTTGTTATGAACCTTTTTGGCTTATGTGGTGCAAATTGTCGGGTTTATTTTCAAGCATTTTTGTGATTGGTACTTGATAATCAAATTTAGGGGTGACACTTTTCAATTTATTTATTTATTTATGATACAGCTTACCCAAAGTAAAGGTTTCTCACGGTTTGATTAGTATTTTTAAAACCCAAGTGCGATGCCACTGCTAATTGAATTATCAAAAACTGAAACTGATTATAGCAATAGAGAAATCATACACGTAAATATTGGAGAATATGAACATGTAGGTCTGACAGTTTAATATGTTTGCTCATGAGAGAAATGGTAATTTTAAAGCAATTCTCATATCATTACTGCCAAAAGTTTTACAATTGTAAAAATTGAAAATTGCAACAACCTATTGGCTTTTCTGTTCATATTTTAAGAGAACTTTTCCGCAAGAAACTATAGAAATATAAAAGTTTACAGGTATAATTAGATCCATCCGGGTAAAAAAAAATAATAAATCAACATTGTCCGACTATAAAAATTTTAACGTGAAGATCACGAAAATTACAATACAGAACAGACTAAAAAAAACTACCTGATATTAATAAAAAATTGAAAGAATGCATATCAGATTTATCTTCGGTATCTTCCACTACCACCGCCGCCACTTCGTCTGGGTCTCTCCTCATATCGGCTGCTACGACTTGAGCGCCTTCTGCGGTCTCTATCGTAGTCTCCTCCTGCCCTTTCCCTGTATCCTCGGGAGCGGCCGTAACTAAAAATATGTACCCAACAATGAAACCATAAGTCACCACCCTGACACAATTGCCATTTTTTAAGCTAATTTTGTCCACGCCAAGTCAACGACTCATGGCCCATCATACAATTCCATACATTATTCTTTTTACCAAACCATATAAATAAACAACCATGTGCCTGACAAATCACAAAACAACAATTAGGGAATAACAAAACCATGTGAAGCGTTTTGAAGTATGTGAAACAACATCTAAGAAACTCGTCGTGGCTAAAAGTAACTGAATAATAAGCTTATACTTTTAAAGTCACAAAAACCGGGAATGTACATTATTATTTTTTTTTTTTTTAGTAATTAGTGTCGCTTGCTTTGCTGATAATTTACCCCTTTATCATCTTTAAAAATCAATAATCTGTTTTAAGCAGGTTTTATTTTTTTTATGCTTTATTGCAAAAAATGTATTACTTCATTAAAATTTATGTAACTGAAAACTTTGAAGTTGAAATTGTGACCTGTTTGAATGACATGGTCAAAGTGTATCAATCTCTTCAATTTTAATCGTTTTTATGCCAAGTCCACACCAAACCAACAACATGAAAACAAAACAGCAACTCTATGTTTCCCAACAAAAGAAAACATTTAGGCATCTATTTTGTTCAGTTAGTATTTTCAAAAATGGTATTCTTGAAAGCCTTTGCCGTATGCGAGTGATCCTGCATGCGTCGCTTGGCGAATGATTTGCAAGGAACGGTCTTGAACATTCGACAACCTTATCTCGCATGCGGTAACTATGTGTATCCAAGCATATTACTTGTTATTGTCGCATAGATAAAATATAATTATTCTTCCTAGTTTATTTTTTAACGAATTTTTTATAATTACCAAGTGTTCATTAGTCATTACCTTTAGTTATTGTATTTACAAGTGTAATTTTTTTATAAAATGGACGATTTAGAGGAATTTGATTTTATACAATTAATACAAAATATTAAAAGAGGCACAATTAGATGCAGATCTACAACCTCTCAATTACACCGGACGGCAGGATCCATTTTTGTTACCAGATAGTTTATAAAAGTATTTTGCTAATTTTAAAGTTTTCTGTTTATCAATCTTTACTTCCAAATACCTACTCAAATTTATTTTAATAATGATAAAAACTACTAATTTGAAACTCTCACAGGTTAATTTTTTTGACAATTTTTAGCTGATAAAACAGTTTTTGTTACAATGTTCTGAAATTTTATGGGTTGAAAACGATTAAACTGCTGTAATAATCAAAGACTCTTCGCTACACCATGCGGCACGACACTACCCTAATAAAGGGTAGTCAATAATTCAACTTATCCGTCGCATGCAGTGGCGACCATTAACTGAATGCGGCGTTCAGTGCACACTTTCAGGAATTGGACCACTGGTCTAGTGCAGGGGTCACCAAACTATGACTCGCGTGCAAATTTAGCAAGCGTATGATCGCTCAGGGCGCCTACTTGGCAACTAGTCTTAAAATTATCAATAATTACAGGAAAATTAAAACAGTTTTGGCCCTTGGAACTTACTGAAGTAATCAGTAAAACAAAAATAAATTTGTGGTTCAGTTCTTGTTAGTTGCGCAGCAGAATGGCTACTAAAAAAGTGAAAAGGATTGTTGAATATACCTGCAAATTAATTGAACTTTATAGAGAAACTAGATTAGTATGGGATGTCGGACACCCTGATTATAAATATTGCTATAAAAAAGCAGACACCTTAAAGGAAATATGAATATTGTGTAATGATTTTCAGAGGAAATAGACAAAAAAATAAAAACTTCAATAGCAATTATCAGAGATACACAGATATGATCAATTATTGAAGAAAACATGGAGCTGGCAAAATTAGTTGTTTTCATATACATTTTAATGTCTGCAGTTGACAATTTTTTTGTTTTCATAAACTTGCGGTTTTTTTATGTTGCTGTTTTGTTGGTTTGGTGTGGGCCCAGCTTTTCAACCGAAACTGAAAGTTTCAAATGTTTGAAGAGCACCAAAAATAGTCTAAAACTTGTTATTTAAAGACTCGACCAGAAAATAAAAAAGCAGTTCTATAAGAAGTACGTTTTGAACTACACACTAATTCAGTTAATTTTTATTATTATTATTATTATTATTATTACATCAGGCCTATTTTTTTTAGAAAACTGTTTCATATTTGTATTATAATCTTTGTCTTCTGAATGCCTATACGAGAGAAATTGAAACTCTCTGGGGAATATCACTTGATTTTTTTTCTAAAAAAGTGGATGTTGAAAATGAATTCAGTTATTATTTGACCAATCAGAAACTACGAAATTTCAATAGCAAACGACACTAGTGACAGTAAAATTCATATCATACTAAAAAACTGATAATACAATATGACCATAAATATACAGTACAGAAATTGTAATTCTAATCAAAGTTACTATGGAAGTGACGCTGCTGTCAAACTTGTTTTAAACAAACACTAACTTGTTATCTGTCAGGGTATACAACACTGTCTATGAACAAGATACAATTGAAGAAAATGTTTTTATATGTTAAACTTATAATCGCTAATAAGAGTTTGGAGGGACATAATAGACCCATTATTAAATGGGTTGGATCTCAATTTGAACCCATCTTCAACTATGCGTCCAACAGAATGGTGGGCTTATAGAGCATACCATTAGCTATTATAATAGACAGTAACTTTGTCTTTTTTGTTAAATCTGTTAATATTTATAAGTGAGCAATATATATTTTCGCTTCATACTTTTTTTATTTTTATTTATTTAAATGGGATCAACCCCATTTCAAAGCAAAACACATAATTGATACAGATAATTGTAAATTATAAATTAAATTAAAAAAGACAAGAAAAAAAAAAAAGAAGTTAAAATTAAGTCAAATAAGTTTTAGAATAATAAATGCATTTTAAGTATTGTAAATATGTCTGATATTTCATTTTTATTCCAGTGTATTCATACAGATTGCCTTAAATTTATTAAAATGCCTGTAACCTCAAGATTCAATTGATTTATTACCCTCAATGTTCTTTCAATAGGTAAATGCATGCCATAGTTTGAGTTTAATTACCTAAGGACTCTATTAGGAATATTGAAAGAAATCATTTCTAAGAGTTCCGGGCATATGACTAGACCATTTAATATATATTTATATTTAATCTATAGATAAAATTCAAATCTGATATAAGTCTCCTGTACTTAAGTCGGCCCATATTTTTTTCATTTAAAATCCTAGTATAATTGTGATCTGTTACCCGAATATTTAATTTGAAGGCACAGTATCTTAGAAATTTATTTTGTATTCTTTCCACTGCTAGACTGCGACCAAATTATAGAAGCATACTCCAAATGAGGTACAACCAATGTTTGATAAACTCTTTTTATGGCTTTTAGAGAGAAATCAGAACAGTTATGCAATAGTAACCCTAAGCATTGGAATGATTTTATTGAGATCGAATTTATATGTTCAATAAATCTTAATTGTTCATCTAAAATAACTCCTAAATCTTTGACTGAATTAACCCGAGATAGTGGCTTATCATTTGTTTGTGTGTGAATGTAATGTCTTGGATGACGAATTGAAATTATTGTTTTTACTTGAAACTTGTTTTATTAAAATAGATGTTTTACAACTAGCTAGCGTGGACTGTACTCTTCAGTTACTGTTACATAACTGACGCAATGTCTTTCTTTCTGTTTCGCGCGGGGTTATCGTAGCACAAAACAGGGTTGCCACGTTTATCTTAAATAACAGTATCTAGGTACAAAAAATAAAACAACATCATTAATGTAATATTGTGAGTTGCATTTTTTGTTCCCTTTAAAAAAGCTTATAAAGCAACATTTATTAACATTCAACTGTAGGTTATTATGGTCGCGTCATTTGACTAAGTTGTCGAGATCATTTTGAATGAAGGCTTGATCGTCAGATGAGTAAATTAATCTATACCACTTTAGGTCATCCGCAAACATTAAGAACTCACAATGTCTAGAGCATTCTATTATATCATTAATAAATATATTAAATAAAAGTGGTGAACAATTAGAGCCCTGTGGTACAACTGAGGAAACCCTAATTAATCCTGGTCTATTACTACCGATTTTAACTTGCTGACTTCAAGCTGTCAAAAAACTTTTAAACCATTTCACCAGCTGAGATGGTATACCAAATGACTCTAGTTTCGTTAACAATATTTCATGATCAACCCTGTCAAACGTTTTAGCGAAATCTGTTAAACAGAGTTCTAAAACATTTAATATATTTTGTTCTTATAAGAATAGATTTATAACTGTAGATTTTTTTTGACAGAATCCATGCTGGTTATTGATCAGAAGTTCCTTGCAGTAAAAATTAAGCTGGTCAAAAATTAAGTTGTCCATTAATTTAGGTAAAGAAGATTGAATACTAACGCTTCTATAAGTACTGTATATTTCTTGGTCATACTGTGTAAAAAAATAAAAACTTTGTATTTATTTTATGTCAAGTTAGAATATTTATTTAAAAAGATCTTCTCATGTTTATAAAAAAGTGTTGACAAGCCTAATATAAAAATTATTTCAAGTAATTAATTATTTTTTTATTAATGTTTTCCCTAAGTTGGATTAAACTATAATATGCTGAATGAAAAGTTAATCTGAAGATTTAAAAATTTAGTACATTCCCAGTCTTTGGAATTAACTTATCAATAGTGGATAATTATTAATTAAAAATGATTTCATAAATAGATTTGTTTAGACAAATAATTTAATACTGTTATAAAACAAATAATAATTATCCATAAATGATAAGATTTTAATTGTAGTAATCATTTAAATACTGCCAAAAAATCAAATATTTAAATTCATCATCATATTTAAATGATTACTACATTTTTTTATTCTGAAAATAATAAAAATGACTGACTGGCCCTAAAAATTATTAAAACCCTATGAAATACAGAAAACTTTGTTAATTTACTTACAGATCTCAAGTGTAGTATATTGAAAGAGTGCACAAAAGGTGAAAAACAGAAAACAAAAAGTGTTAGACCATTTGATTGATTACTCATACTTCTAGTTATTAAAGTAAATTTGTTACAATTCTGGCATATTTAAATTAATGAAAAATCAACCAAACCATAACAAAGTTTTCTGTACTTTGCAGTTAGTTTCAGAAAATATTTGGATTAGAACATGTTGAAAAAATATACTATACCGGTCTCTCTTATCTCCTCCAGCACTGATATCTGGGCAATCACGGTAAAAGTGACCAGTGTACCCACATTGATAACAGCGCATGTTACTGTTATAAAAGCGTCTACCTGAACCTCTAGTTCTAGGTCTAGCATAAGTTACACGAATTCGGCAACCTGCCACTTCACTAAAAATTTACAACAAAAAAAACACATTTGTAATCAAACCTAGGAGACATTATATGTATATATTTGTAGTCAAAACTAGAAGGCAGATACTTCTAGTTGTCCAACAAGCAGAAATATAAAAATGAGGTAGAAAAATATTGTTTACATGCAAAATACACAAGGCATACAAATACACTGTAAGAACAGTAAAACTTCTAATGAAAAATATAAAACTGAGTACGACTACAACCATTCTGCAATGGATTTGACTTATCCCTCATTGAAATATCATCAACTGGTATTGTAAAATAAAACCGAGTATACAGATCAATAACATAATGTAACTAATATTTGTACACACATTCAAAAAGTTCATGATTATTAATCAAGAAAATAATCTATTAAATTCTATTCAAATTGATTCGATTAATGAAGTCGCTGATGCTGCTAATATAACAAATTAATTTAAATGAAAAACTCCTATAGGTGGTCATTTTTATATTTTATGGAATATATCTGTTATTTACGTTTGGGGAAGAAAATTTTTTAAATAAAAGTTACTTCTTATTTTATTATCTATAATTTTTGTTATTTACAAAATTTTCCTAAAATGGTCCGTATTCGAGAAATTTGACAAAATGTAAAAAAATATTTTTTTTTATAAAAATTGTTCAAACAAAAGTTGTTGGTAATATAATTCTCTATAATTTTTGTCCCATAGATAATTTCTCTAAAATGGGCCGTATTCGAGATATTTGAGAAAATGTGTAAATTTCGAAATTTGAAGAAAACTCAAAAACGGATAAAGAAAAAATCAATAAATTTTAAACTTAAGTTTTATTTCGGCCTGACGTGAAATGATTAGATTTTGGACAAAGTCGGAACATCTGGGGGGGTACTTTATGGGAGGCCGTTTTTATATTTTATGGAATATATCTGTTATTTATGTTTAGAGAAGAAAATTGTTCAAATAAAAGTTACTTCTAATATTATTATCTATAATTTTTGCTTTATGTAAAAATTTCCTGAAATGGTCCGTATTCGAGAAATTTGACAAAATGTGCAAAATTCTGATTTTTATGAAAATTGTTGAAATAAAAGTTGTTTGCGATATCGATCTCTATAATATTTGTTCATACATGATTTTTTTTAAATGGACCGTAATGGAAAAATTGTAGGAAAAGTGCTAAATTTAAATTTTTCAGTATTTTCATTATCAATGAATATCTATAGAAAAATGTTTCGCGGTAGATGTATGTGGACAATGTATATATTTAGTTTATCCTCTAAACATTTATAGAGATGCTGCAATAGGTTGTACACAATAAACGGAAAAAGCCTGTAATAACTAGATAGGAAAGTCATGTGTTGGACACATCAGATTTTTAATACAGGAATCGTACCTAAACAATTTAAAACTTCAATTATAACACCTATTTACAAAGCTGGTAATCCAAAATTAATAACTAACTATAGACCTATTAGTTTAATTAGTAATGTGGCCAAAATATTTGAGAAATATGTAAAAGATAGACTGTTTTAAAAACTAATGACTTACTTCCCAAGCACCAATATGGCTTTACTGAGGATCTTAACTCAGGAGATGCTATGCATGAATTGATTTCATATGTTACTGATGAAATGAATACTGGTAACAAGTGTATAGCTATATTTCTAGATCTAGCAAAAGCATCTGACATGGTGCCACATCAGAAGCTCTTAAATGTTCTTGAACAGAATGGAGTGAGGGGCATCTTGTTGAAGATTTTTAAAAATTATTTGACACACAGACAACAGAAGGTAAAGGTCAGAGATAATGTGAGTAACCCTGAAAATATACAAATCAGAGTGCCTCAAGGGACTGTTCTGGGACCTATACTAAATTTATACATTAAGAGCTTAACTCAGATTGATATTCAAGGTATAGTTGTATCATATGCTGATGATACAGTGCTAGTCTTCAGTGATAAATATTGGCAAGCCATCAAGACATGTGCTATAGCTGGAATGGAACATGTCAAAAACTGGCTGGTGGTTTTTAAATTGTCTTTGAATGTTAACAAAACAAACTACATTGCTTTTTCAAAGACAGTGGCTGATCGACCTCAATTTAGAAGCTCAACATGTCAAAATTTAGACATACAGGAAACAGAAACATCTAAATATTTAGGTATAATTATAGACCACCACTTAAAATGGGACTGCCATATAATATATATATAGCAAAAAAACTTAGATTTCTGAATTTATAAATTGTATCTTCTAAAACAATTTCTCAACCAGGATCTACTAATAACATTATACTACAGTCTAGTAGAATCTATACTACAGTATGGAATCTTAGTATGGGGAGTAGAGGTGTGTCGTTCGCGAACGATTCGTTCAAAAAGAACGAATCAGTGCACTGACTCGAATGAATTGATTCCCTGTTTTTAAAAGATTCGAATCTTTTTTGAGTCAATTGCTCGATGGCTCTGCGATCGATCAAACACGCCGAGTTCCGAGTTTGGTTGCTTCGTTCATTCGATTCGGATTCGGTATTTGGTATTTTACATCGGCATCGGCAAATTGGTCGCTTTTGTTCTACGTTCTACGGCATAATACGAGAACTCTAACTGACAGGCGGTGGCGGTATGTGTCTTTAATGTTTTTCTCACTTTACAGGAGGTGTGTATTAAGCTTAGGTAAACAATTTATGCGTGTTGTCTGATAAATAAATTTAAATCAAAGTAAAATTAAAACAAAAAATGACGAATCGTGAATATATAATTTTGCCTCGAATTTTGCGTTAATTTTGGCATTTAAAAAAAATTGTGTTATTGTTGTTTATCTTAACGGACAAGGATGTATTTATTATTCAGCTGCCTTTTTTTTTATGAAATATGAAACATTAATTTGCTTTACTTTAAAATAAATCTGGTTATAATTATTTTACTCAACGACCTAGTAGGTAGGTAGGTAGGTTAGGTAGTACTCAAATTCGTAAAAGTTCGGTTCGATTTCCTTCGCCGGATCGGCGGAATAACATCGTTCGTGGTTCGCTAAAGTGAATCACTTGAGAACGAATCTTGAAGAACGAATCTTTTTAGGTGAATGAATCAAATGAATTAATTCAGTAAAAAGATTCGAACTTCCCACCTCTAATGGGGAGGCCTGTATGGAACTACATTAAATCAGTTAACTGTTATTCAAAACAAAATCTTGAAGTTAATATATAAAAGAGATAGATTGTGTCCCACCATAACTTTATATAATGAAAAAATTAGCAATGTTAGATGTTTATATATTCAGGCAGTGTGTTGTTATATACAAAAAAAAATGAATTTTTAAAAAACCCTTTAGAACATAGACATAACACTAGAACTGCATTGAACATGTGCATTAAAGTACCAAAACCAAATAGTGAGTTTTTTAACAGTGTAAATTATCTAGGGACAAAGTTCTATAACGCTCTACCTCTTCATATAAAATTATTAAACAAATATAAAAAATTCTGTAAAGTTAGCAAAATATACATTTCCCAAAATAATGCAAAGTTTATCAGAATATTCCAAGAATAACGGATTTAATACATGTTTTTTTTTAAATAGTTTCTGGCATAAATTGTTCAATTTTTATTTTTTATTTAAAAAAAAAATGTTAATTTTTTTTATTTTCTTTATAATTCATTAAATATAATTAAAATAAAATTTTAATTTTTGTCAGAACATACAGGTGTTCTCACCTAGGTGCTTGTTATTATATAATTGGTTTCCATTATTGTAACTTATAACTATTAAATATCTTTATCAGTCTTATCAGTTACAAAGAATGAAAACAAAAGATTATATATTTAAATTATTTGGTGAAATACATTTTAAAACCAATATCTTACAAATTAACCAACTGAATTTAATACATTTTGTATTTTTTTTTACTGGTGTTAAGGATGATTTTTTAAAGTGACAACCATAATGTTATTTTTATGTGATTCTTCCAGTTTAAAAGGCAGTTCAGAAGATATTTCAAAGTAATCATAAATTGCAAAGCTTCAGTCTGTCAAAACAAATGACAATTTGTTAATGGAAATACATATACAAGCAAATATCAATACTAGTTCCATTCATAGAGCATGCTAATTATTTAAAAGTATGTGAAAAAGTGTCAATAATAAAACAATTTTCATCCTTTTTATTAAATTAAAAAAGATAATTTAAATTTAGATTTTAAATTAGTAAATTAATCAACTATGAATGGAATTGGGTCATAAAAAATGACCTTCGTCATTTAAATCCTTTTAATAATTTTATCAGCAATACTAACAAAATGACTTTACAATTATAGATAAGAACACTACCTCCTGGTAATTGGAAAAAATTGTATTTTTTTTATTTGCAACAAAATATATGGTTCTATATATTCATGTAAAACAGTTTGTAAGCAGTTTTTTTAATTATTGTTCACTAAAACCATATTTATCTCATTTAGGTATCTTTGGCCATATCAAAATATTTACCTGTGTACCTATGTAAGACAAAAATTAAAAAGATTATAAGATGATCAAATTCATAATACACTTACGCTCCATCTACACTTTTTAGGGCAGCAGCAGCTGATTTTTTTTCTTTAAAAACGGCAAAACCAAAGCAAGGTGTACTATTGGTCATCCAGACCTCTTTCAGCTGACCATAGGGTGAGAAAACTTTTTCTAGGTCAGAACGCCTAACTTCATCTCCTATATCTGCAATATGTAATCTATAGCCGTCAATTTCACTACTACGGCTTCTTGAACGAGACCTGTTAAATAAGAGGAATTTACTTCCATTTCTTTGAGATGGAATATGTTGAAGGTTAATAAAATTATGTATACCTAGAAACGCTAGAACCGGCGCTTCGGCTTCTACTCTTTCTGCTTATGCTACTATTGCTGCTTTTGCTACGGCTCCTTTTAGGATTTGAATCGGGAGAGTCTCGCATTTTGAAAACTAAAATATAAGAAAAACGAAGCTAGTCACGTTCACATGTAAAGAAAATTCACAGAGGAAAAGCAATTACTTATAATACAAACTTACTTTTACCTCAAATATGTAAATGACGTGGCTTTTTTAATAACTAAACACGATTCACTGCTTAATGATCATAAAAAGAAAATAATTAAATAAGACTAGACAAAATGGATGCACTTAACTTTGTTATCAAAAATCATGGCAACCACCAACTACAGTTTAGCCAACAGGCCAACTTCACAGAACGCCAACTTGAAAAAATTAAAATCTAACTAAAGGTCGATGAATCCACCGTTGTGACCACAAAGCACATAGAGGTTCCACGTGAATGACCAAGGTCAAAACCGACAACTGACATTTTTTATGCTATTTGCTCCAAACTCTAGATGGGGCTACTGGTGAAATTATGATTTCTTACTCCATTTTTAAGCCTTATGGGAGAAAAACTTAACCAAAGACTCCAAAGATGTGACGTGTATTTATTTATGTTCTTGGTTAGTTTCATTTTTCCGTCTGATTTTAGTGATTTTTTGTTGGCTTTGGCTTTTGGTTTCTGTTTATAGTTTCGTCTTAGTTATTTGCAAAATTGTGATGTTTCGCTTTTTTATTTCCTACTGTGTTTTGCAATAATTTTGGTGCTCCGTTGAAAACTTCGAGAAAAACTTCATTGATTCACCGTATATTCACCATGCATCTGCATCATAAAAAGACAAACGGGGACAACAACTAATTGATAATCAATTTATCACTGGACTAGATTCCGAAATCTGTATCACCATCTGTATTTGGAAGGAAAATACCTATTTATCATTGAATGAATAGTTAAAAGGATTCACCTTTTAATACAATACCTATATTACATTTGTCCTCAGTTAAAAAGACATTTATAAAATATATAACTTTAGTGTTAATAAAATGTAATATCCTAGTCTCTACTTCACATTTAAATTATTGATAGGTATTTTAAAGATTTGAGATTATATATCTATTTGCTCCAAAGTAAGTATTCGTTAAATATGTTTTATTATTTGTATTTATTTTTATCTAATAATATTTATTTAAGTTATTAATAAACATATTTTAAGAATGTTCTATTTTATTATTTATTGATATATCTTATATTTATTTAATAAAAATATGCAGAACCAACTCTCCACATTAGACCCCTTATAACAAATTAATTCTTCAAATTTGGTATAATCGACCTAAATTATTTTGTAAAATAAAAGTTTCGAACTTACTAGTTCCATACTTTATTTTATAAAATAATTTATGTGGAAATCATTTAAAATTTAATTTAAAACTACTACCTACTCCTAAAAATTACAATTTGAATTTACCGCCATCTGTCAATTGTCATTTTAGTTCCAGCTCCAAACACAAGGTGGCGCTAATTTGGTTTAAAAGTTTAACATTGGCGTGGGGTCTCTAGAAGATACATGCTTTGTGGTTGTGACAAGGTTTGTTCTGGTTCTCAAAATGAAAACTGTTTTGAAACTGCGCCGGACCGTATGCGTAAAGGCAAAAAATCCCCGACTGTTTGAAATTGTTGGAAAACCAGAACACATAAAGATGTTTTGTTTATTGTTTACTATAATAATGAAGTTCCTTTTGAAAGCTCAGCTTCAAATAACATTTGCATGTATAGGTATGTTTATCATTATCATCACATTTCAATGGAATAAATAAAAACAGAATATTAAAAAAATAATAATTCTAAAATTGCTTTAATTTACAAATAAAACAAGAACAAGAGACATTTGTCCACATATAAATAAAGAATTTGGGATTGCATACGTTCCGTATGGTCTAAAAAGCCAATACAATATTCATAACACTTCAAAAACGCATGCGCGGTCAAAACAGTCCGAGTCGATCCACACTCCCAAGCATGAACACATTTTGACTATTTACAACAATCACGGATTATTTCGGATACGAAACTAGAACACTGGACTGAGAGATCCAAACATTGCGTTCGGTCTGCCAAGTTCCTTTAACTCCTTTAACACTTTTAACTCCAAACGACCCTTTTACCGTTAGGTTAAGTCCGATTAGTGACAGTTTAACACGCTTAAATGTCATTTAAAAGCACCCTAAAATTTGTCCCGCTCCAGCCCCTGACTGACCGAACTCGCCTAAAGTAGTCCCAGAAAAACCAGAACACTTTTTATCTACTGCGCATGAGCCCGACAGTTGTGGATCGTTATTTCTCAAAACCAGAACAGACCTATAGAATTCTGCCGTTGTGTTAAATGAAGTTTAAATTACTAAACGAAGATTAAAATGACACAATAGGTCTGTTCGTTCTTCAGAAAAATGTTAAAAACTGTCCGAATACTAGCTGACCAGTGGAAAATTTAAAAGTTTTACGCGACGAATAATTGGGTAGTGAACTGTTCCACTGGATCTTAGACGGTTTGCAGCAAACGTAATTAACTCAGTGCTACACTTTCGATGCAAAGGAAAAGACCTATTGTTAAATGTAAAAATGTAATTTTAATCTTCGCTTAGGTCCGTATTTATAAACCGAACTTAGCTGAGTCCGACTTGGGTGATGCTTGGGTGAGTCTCCTTGTACGAAAATCGAAGTTCGGTTATATAGCGTGAATTTAGAGATGAGAAGCAACAAATCCGTAAAAGTATATAACAGTTACATATTTGCTACTATCCATCTCTAAATTCCAGTCTAACACCGGAACCACCTGGAACTTTAGAGGAGTTATAACCGAACTTCGATTTTCGTTCAAGGACGACTCAGTTCTTTTTCCAGAATCCTTCTTCTATGTTTGTCAGTTTACAAACTTTAAATTTATTTGTGTATTTGAAAACAAAAATTGTTGCTTGAACACGAAATTCAAATCAAAATACGTGTTTAATTGTGATATCTAAATATCCGGGGTCTGATAAAAACCGACTATATGCATTCAAAGTAAAAACCAATACTTTTTCCGGTTTTTTAAAATGAAACGCGTGTGTTCACAGCAAGTAGTAAATACCGCAGAGTTTTCTATGCCGTGGAGCATGGAGCAAGGATACTCCATGCTCCATAAATACTCCTTTTTCCTCTTGTTTTTCTGAGCTTTTTTCGATTTCACACAAACGTCAAAGTCAAATTTCATGCTTGCAAATGCAACGTTGCAATTTGTAGTTTGTTTTCATGTTTACCCTGAGAGCTTATTGGTTGGTTTTGGATCAATTCCAATTCTCAAACACAGTTGACGAATTAATTAGGCATTCCAACGACCTGTCCAAATGGCTACCAGTGGGTAATGACAGTTTAGATATGGCAACCCTGTTGGCATGTTGTCATTAACAGGGTCAATGATACATATATAGTTATATAGATTGCTCAAAGCTAGTCGTTTACGAGCGGCCATATTGCCTGGCAAATATTTATTAATTTGAATCGGTTTAGCACAAATGTCTTTTAAAACCAATTTTTAGCCTTTAAATATTTTAAAAAAATAATTGCTTACATTTTTACTTCAAGGCATACGCTTATGTTTATTTTGAAAAATATGGATAATCAATCTATGTAACTATCTATTTCATTGACCTTGTCAAATCACCAGGCCTACAGGGTTGCCATAATTTTGCCATAATATAACCCGTCAAAACCCACTGGTAGCCATTCAGTTTGGAATGCCTAATTATTCAAGAACACGTCGCAAGGTTCAGGTCTGTGGCAAGGTTATAACAACCTCTTAGCCACAATATATCCCCTATAGTAATGTAACTGGGATTCAAGAAATGGCTTTGAGTTACGCTGCGGCCAGACACAGGTCTCATGGCGCTAGTATCGTTATTGATTTTTGACTTCGGCACGTTCATTGGTTGACGACGAATTCAAAACAATCTGATCGGAGCGTTACTCACTCCCACACCTTCTCTTTGTTTAAATACTTATAAAAGAAAGAGATACCAGTTAATAATTTCTATTTCGAATCATCTTTCATTCTTTAGCGTTGAGTTTTTATAAGTGAAGCGTGAAGTGTCAGTGTTGACAAGTGATAATTTTTTGATTTTTTCTTCTACGAAATTTAATATTAATTTTGTTTCAGCGATATTTATTGTGATTTGTGTTGTTGTATTAAGTGCTTTCTTATTTAATATGGGAAACAAAACGTACAACAAACTCAGAAAAAGAGGAATCGAGGAGGGATTGCTATCTATGGCTGTCATCCAAGGGTCTGCGCCCTAGATAATACTTTTCCAGTGGGAAAAGCCTTTAAAATTCAAGTATAACAATTTTATGTTTCCGTTTTCCCTTCTTTTAATGTAGGTGCCAATTTTGAGGTAAGTTTGTAATAATTTTTCAGTTAATACCTACCCTCTTAATATTATAATTTAACTATGATCTTATGCTTTCCTATGGACACGATTCAAGGAGGGAGTCCTATGGCTGTCATCCAAGCCCTAGATAATAGTTTTCCAGTGGCAACAGCCTTTAAAATTCAAGTATAATAATTGTACTTTTTTCGAAGTAGATGTCCATTTAAACTAAATTTTTTTATTTCACTTATTGATTTTAGCATTTATATACAGTATCGGCTAATGAACACTTTCCAATACGCTTGGCTAGAATCGAAAATAAAACTAAAGAGTTAGCGCATTAGTTCGATCAGGAAACGAATAATATGAATGTTGCCTTGTGTGCTGTGTAATATGAACAGGCACACGGTGTGATGCATCCCCACGTAGCCGGCTGGCTACGTTCATAGTATTCTATTCCTTCTCCCACTAATGCTAACTCTTTGTAGTTTTTACTTGGACATTAGCAAAACGTATTGTACAACATTCGATAGCTGCCACTGTATTATCACAAACATCTCTTAATAACTAAATGATTTCATTTAATAGTTTCTTTTTTTTTTCAGTAAAATGGATATGGCTAGAGTTATCTTCGTCTTTAAAATATATTAAATAAGTTTTATAATTTTTCAAATAAAATACTTTATACAATTTTTTGTTTTTTTACCAGAGCCAATTTTTTTTTCAGATCTAACCTCTATAGGTAAAAAATAAGTGATTTAGGTAAAATTGAAAAGTATATTACATGTTCTTTTAAATGTGTTGTTAATCCAAATGCTGCTCTTATTGTAATAGCTAATAATAAAAGAATTAGTATTATTTTTAGCTATCAAAATAAAAATAGCGCCTGGATTTACAGCTCGTTTAATCGAACATGCAATATACTTCTCAATAATTATTGCCGAATGAATATATTTAAAAATTCCCGCCATTCCGCGGCTGAAAATTTACAATTTTGGCGGGAAATTTAAATTTCGCCTTTAAATTATATTTGAATTTACCGCCATATCGAGTTAGTTGAGCGGCCAGACACAGACGCATTCTTGCGCTGCAAACTTAGTGCCAACTCTTTAACAAGTGAGATGCACTACTATAGGGGATATATTGTGCTCTTAGCTGCTCGAGTGTAATTCAGTGATTCTGAACTAGTTTCCGAAAGAGAACCAAAACAAGCCTGTCACACCATCTATGCACCACATTACCACATCATATTTATATTATTTTATTTTTAATCATGTGCATCATTTTTGATAGGTTGTAGATTTATAGATTAGAATAAATGTATCATCTTATTTTTAGTGTTTATTTGTAGTGATTTAGATTAAGGTAAGTTCTAAATTATAATAAAAATCTTAATTTATACTTTAAAACAAAAAAAATAAAAGTTGTACTGTGTGGTTCCCCCCCACTAATAAAGTATGCATATAACAACAAGAAAATATGCTTGTGCTTAAAAAACTACCTATATATTTTTTTTTATTTATTTGAAAATGATTGATTAAAAATAGCAGTATACTTTTTTGTTGTTGTTTATTCTAAAATAGTTACTTGAAATAACTGTATAAAATTTACTAGCCACAAATTACCATATTCTACAAGGATCATGGTTTTATTTTGACTCTCAATCATCAGCATGTCAAGTTCATTTTCTTTTCAGAATTTTAAAATATTTGAAAATGTCACCAAAATCTTCCTCTTCATCATCATCTACCTCTTCATCTTCTGATAGCAGTTCAGATGTAGAAGAAAAATTGGAAAAATTGGTTCTTAAAGAAGAAACAGAAATAAATATTTTACTATTAGGAGAGACTGGTGTGGGCAAATCAACTTTTATCAATTCTTTTGCTAACTATCTCTCTATTAAATATTTTGAGGATGCAGAAAAAAAGGGTTTAGTTAAATTAATCCCAGCAGTTTATAAAATTCGTGATAAAGATAATAAGGAGCACGAAATTAAATTAGGTTCTCAAAAAGATGAAAATGAGTGTTTAAAAATAGGCGAAAGTGCTACACAGAATGTTAAAACTTATGTATTCCCCATATGGAAGGGTAGAGTCAAAGTACGACTTATAGATACACCTGGAATGGGTGATACCAGAGGAGTCGAACAAGACGAAAAAAACTGTGAAAATATAATTAATTACATTAAAAAATTGGAAAAGATCCATGCAGTCTGTTTCCTATGTAAGCCTACAAATGCCAGAAAAACTGTGTACTTTGATTACTGCGTCTATCAGATATTATCTCATCTTGAAAGTGATGCAGCTAAAAACATATTTTTTCTTTTTACTAATACCAGAGGATCTAATTATGGTCCTGGTGACACATTTTTAACTTTAAAGGCAATTATTAAAAATGTGGAAGATAGTACTGGAGTAAAAATTCCATTAGAGAAGAATATGTACTGTTTTGATAATGAAGGTTTCAAGTTCTTGGGAGCTTGTGAAAAAAATGTACAGTTTGATCAGTCTACTCGTACAACATATAGGGAAAGCTGGGTACAGTCAGCTAAAACATGCTGGAAGTAAGTAAAAATAATTAATATATTTTTTTTATATTGTAATGCTCTATATTGACTTGATTTAATTATTTTTCCAATAATATAGAATGTCGTTAAAAGTTAAATAGATCCAAGAAGGAAAATTGTTGCACTTCCTTTGTTTATATCAAGCTATATAAATAATATATTTTTTTCATCAGTGGAATGTGAGATGTGGAGATTTTTTGGATTATACAGTAGCAAAATACATATCAAATAATATATTCTTTTTATTTTTCACTTACAACTGTACCTACATACTTAAAAAATATATATGTTTTAGCTTTGTTAACCATCTACAAAAAAATATCGAGCCATATGTACCCAGCAAACTTTTAGATGTTAATTTTGCCAAAAGGACTTTGTTTCAGTTCTGCAAGGTGTTGGTAGAAATTTCAGGCATAATGGCTGATACCAAGCTTGTCATGCAGAGAATGGATGAGAATAAAAGCAAACATATGCAAACCATTTCGGAGTTAAAAAAGGAGATAACTAAAATTACAGATGTGGTTGTGCAACAATGGTCTCAACCAATATTAGTTTGTACGTCTATACCGTCTTGTGCCGAAGTTTATAAAGTAAGTTGTGTGGGGCAGGCATGCAGGGGTAAAGGCACCACTAAAAGACCCTATTTTCTTACCCCCCGCCCATTTTAACACTTTCACCATAGTGCGAAAATGCAAAAAAAAATTATAATTATGTTTGGGTCAATTTCTCTAAACTATTATTCCAGAATTTTGGTAATGCTCATTTTTTAGGAATAAATTATACATTATTCAACAAATACAAGAATACATTTTTTTTTTTTTTTTTTAATAAGATAGAAGAAGAAGGATTGATTAACTGACTGCTATATACTGACTAGCCAAATATTAAATGATTATTAAAAGCAAGAGTTAGTTCATTTTAAAATATAGTAAATGAAGTGTTGTGATCTCTTTAATTATAACTCAGAAACTGCCCTGCATTGTTTTGCATACAATGAAACTTAATATTAAGTACTGTGATTCTAATTGGGTTTCCAATTCATTAATTATTTTTGAAACAAACTAGATTTAGTTGATTTTTATGTATATATTTTTTTTGTAGATTAGTGGCGAAAATAAAATTCATTACAAAAATGTGTGTCACTATTGTTTCGATTTAGATAAAAATAATATTCAATTGTTTATCGCTGGTTCACCCGATATAACAAAATGTGAAAATATAGATAATACTGACAGAAAATGTAAAAAATGTGGATGCGACTTCTTACTTCATATGCACATAGGTAAGTAAGTTAATTATAAGCTCAGCTTTTTAAGCTTTAATTTAGGAATAATTTCTTGAACCTCAAGGAATGAAAACAAACTAGAGAAAATGTAATTTCCAGGTGGGATCCGAACCCAAGACCTATGGAATACTTTCATAAAACCACTAGCATCCTAATAATTATATTTAGATAATAGATTAAACTAAATTGCAGTTTTCTAGATCCTTTTTCAATGCTTCTCTGGCCAATGGTGCAGCGGCATTCCATAGGTAGTGTAACCTGACAAACCGGGTCCTAACTTAGTTTTGCAAATACTTATAACCTTGGCCTAAATTTCGTCTAGTAGATCCCCACGAAGTGATTTTTGTAGGACCCCAAAATTTCGCTTAGAGTTCAATGTAGCTGTAATGGAGGAACCAAAAAAAGTAAACACAAAAATAGATTAAGAATAGTATTATTTAAACTTATTTCTTATAGCGGGAAGTTGACAATAATGTTTGTCTATTTTAACATAACACATGTGTGGCCTTTTCCATGTCTCACTTCTAACCGAAGGAATATTAAGCTCCCATAAACTGGTGAAAGTATGATGACAGTACTACAGCATATTTGTTATCCCTTTATAATACACAATCATACACACTGCTAATATAATACCTGCATACGTATTGTCTGATATAGTGAAGTTCAGCGGTATCACGAAGAGTATGGCGCGATATGAATATGGATATAATTATGTAAATAAGAAGTTTAAGCTCATCTTGCGTTAACACCTTTCCACTGATATCTCAATACCGTATTTTACGATTGTGCTCAGTACTGCAAATATAACAATAACCTGTACGACAACAGAACACCTGATATAAAGGGGGATGCCCGTTAGGCCCACTTTTGGGGTATCTTTTCTTAAGATCCATCCTAGCCTCTATCAGGCTTTTATTTCCACAGACGTGAGAAAATGTACCATTTTTAGGCCCTACTATTGAGGTTCTGCACATACTATGGGTGGCTGAAGGCTCTTTTTCAGCGCAAGGCTCTTTTGCTCTAATTACCGACAAATCAATGCTATAAATGACAGCTCCGAAACCACAAGCTGTAGTCCCACCTCAATCTCACCTCATTTTTCTAAAAGGATAACAACTATACCGGAGTTCTATAACCTATGTGATAAAGTGATGCCCAGATGAGCCTAATATGTCCGTTTACCCAAACGTAATACCAAAAATTATATTGTTACCCGCCTCTGTACATATTCAATCTTAAAAAGAACCCAAAAAAGTAAATTATCAACGTTTAGAAATAAGACATGACTTTACCCACTTCTGCATCATACAGAATGAAAGAAAATATTATTACCGTAATTTACTTAACAATAGGACTCGACAAATAAATGTAATACAATTTAAACATCTGTCTACCATCTAAATAAACGCAAAAGACGACAATTTATAGCCACAAAAGCAGGTTATTGGTTTCCCAAACCCTAAAATAATAAAGGGCTTTGACTGATCATAAACTTAGCTTAGTTTATTAGTTGTTGTGGCTGGATTTAAAATAATTGATTTTTATGACGGTAATTCTAATTATTAATTATTGTCCTATGAAATGAAATTCCCTGACAATGAAATGCAAAAAAAACTACCCACATAACTTAACAATTACTATTTACTAAATTTTACCACAAATAAGAATTGTTCCCTTTTTAAACACATAATTACAAAATGATACCTGTAATAAAACCACGCTGCAATAACTGCTCTCCCCCGGCGGTATACATGACTACTCTCCCCCGGCGGTATACATGACTACTAAATAAAGGACACTTGGTAGGAAGATACAATTATCGCTAAAATCTACGTACGGGGATCCACACAACAAAGAAAAAGATATCGTCGACAAAAGTAGAACGCAATCGCAATACTTTTAGTCGTTTTCCACAAGATTTATACGATTGGATCAGAGGTACTAAAAAACTCGCTATTTCTTTATCCGGCGTCTTCACCAAGACAAGTCACGCAAAGAATCCAATAACTCGGAAATACAATCCCAGAAAACCCTTAGAAAAGAGAGAAAAATTAAGCTCTTTTAAAACGTCCGTCTGTTTGGTCACCTGATAGGTAACACATAACTACCTCTCGATATACAAATGTATAACGAAAGAAGTCACCTTAAAGGTAACGGTGTATAGCGCAACAGAAGTCGTTTCATACAGAAAATAACTTATCTGCTCCCTCGATATCTTTTACTGCGTTTTCCAAATATAACGAAAAAAAAGCTGCAGGAAGAATTCTAACCCAGTTCTTACTTTCGAACCCCGTATTTATACTTTAATTTTCCCATTTAGTCAATGCATAAGACAGAGAAAGGTTGAGTAGCGGGCCTACTCAACTTTCACGTAACATAATACCCCGAAAACATCCCGAACCATATACGGCATCCTGAGTTAGAATTTGCCGTCGAGTTTCAGTAGATTGGTTCGAATCCCACCTGTATCAAATTTTTATTAAATTCCCAAAATTGTATTTTTTTTTTCATGATATTAACTTATCTTTAAAATGACCTAGGATTTTCCTGAATGTTTCACTATATTTTCTTTAAATAATTACAGTAATATAATTTGCTGAAAACAGTACAGTAATTGAAGACCGTAACTTCTAAAGGGTCTTAAGTGCCAAAATTTTAAAAATATACATTTTGACATAAAAAGGTTTAGTATACCAACCCTAACTATATCCAATTGGTTCTAAGTGCATTTTCAAAGAAATCAATTTATTGTAGTGAGATAAACATGGCGAATGTATATGTCCGTAAATGATATATAAAATTTTTATTTTGCTCATAACTTTTTTCCATGCCTTTGGCACTTACACCCTTTTGAAGTTATGGTTTTCAATTATGAAAAATAAATGAATCATTTTCTCTACCTTATAGACCGAGAGCCGGCCGTATAAAATCGAAGGGGGGGTATGATTATAGACTGAATTGAAAAAATTATTATATTAATGTGCCTTGTTTTTACGTAACCTTCTTCTGGTACAACAATTTTAAGGTTATTAAAACGGTATTTTATAGTTTTTTTTTTTTTTTTGTGAAAAAACACTAAAAGGGGCGTTTATTAATATTACAATCTGATCAAGAGTTGATCAATGAGTAATTTTGTTATAACCTAACTTAACTAGGATATAACCCACTCACCCAAGGATCTGTACAAACTTGTACAAGGTACAAAGGCGATAGAGTGGGTGCTATGAACTAACATGGGGTAAAACACAATAAGCCAATAGGCTTCAGTGTTATTCGGAGACACATAGACGAGCCCAGGAGAGAAAAAAAAAACTTAACTAGGGTTGCAATCATAATAACTAAAGTTCTACTCGCTAGTATACCTTAGGGTCTGATAACTTGATTACACTAAACCGCACAATGCTTTGCTTTGTTATTAACAACTAACTCAAAAGGTTTCTCTCTCAAACGTTCACATGTTGGTGGAGTCGTTGTTCGTGACTCCTAGCGAATCTGGTGATAGTCTGGTCAACAGTGTCCATCTGAAGGTCTCGATGAAGGTCGCTGTTTCTAATGTACCAAGGAGCATCGACAATGTTCCTCAATACTTTGTTCTGGAATTTCTGTATTATTAGAATCTCACTGTAGCTGGCTCAACCCCAGAGCTGAATGCCATAGGTCCAACTTGGTTTGAGAACTTGTTTATATACTAGAATTTTGTTATATATAGATTGCACCGCAATGCCTACCAAGTAACCAGTACATTATCTTGAATTTTATATCCACCGATTGGTATTACTCAAAATGCTTTACTGACTAGACACAGATTGACAAGTCTCGACGTAAGACGAAAGTACTTCTCCATAATTACCCTATACAAAGTTGTTAATTTTAAAATCAATCGTAAAGCTCTTTTACATATGCTTAATTTTAGAATCCCACGCGCAACCTCTCGAAACACTGAATTATTTTACATAGCGCCTCTCGGACAAACGTTCTGAAGTTTTCACCTGTATATAACATGTGTAATAATTATAATAATATTAGTGAACAGTTGGATATATTTAATTGCAGTGTTAAAAACATAAAAACACATTGTTTAAAATAATTTAGAATTTATTTACTGTAATTTTAGATTAATTATCTATATGCTTTTTGTTAAACTGTTTCCTTTCAAATGTACTCCTGTTCTGTAATTGGGTTTAACCTGTTGAACAATGTATAAATAAATAAATAAATCAGTCCACACATCCTATGGCCGCTCCTGCTAAATGAAAAGTTGATATTTTGTCTTTATTTGTCTCTATTTAGACTATACTACTTCTCTTCGAGAAAATTTACTGGTTGACGAGGATGCAGCTCATAACATAGCTATCAAAGAGTCTTTGTTAAATGATAGTAAAGAAATTTCTCGTGACATTCAAAGACAAATTGATCGTTCTAAAGAAGAATATGATGAAATCAAAAACCTTTGCATGAATTTGTCAAGATATTTAAAAGAACACGCAATTGTTGTATTCAGTCTCAGTTATAAGAGTTATATTGAATATTTGATAAACCAGTAAGTATTATTTGTACATAATAAAACAATGTAAATTTAATAGCAATTTAACGCTGTTCAGCAAGGCCCCAAGGACCCTACTCTCTGCTCTCCTCCTAAAGCTAGAAAAATCTTGAAATAATTAAAAAACTATATTAATAACAAAGAGGTAATTAATAAATAATTTTCTTTCTGCAATAAATAGTGTTTTTAGGAATTAATGTAAAAAAAAAAACCTATTATCGAAATCCAGTCAAAATACAGACAGGGTGATGAATTTAAAACAGGTATGATACCCATTTTCTAGACGTAATTTTGCTCGGGGATCCTAGGGTGATTTGAGTGTCGGATCACCCTTTAAAATAAAATAATCCTTTTTAGGGGTGATACCATGATACAAAAAATTTCAGAGATATGTTATTAGCCGACGAAATCTCGTAGAGTTCACGCATGATGTAGTGTGGTGCGGAATATATGTCTATCTGTGATGGGATTGAGCAGATTAAAATTTTTTTTCACGTGCCGTTTTCGATCAGCTGATACTTTCAATTCATCAAAACCATGCCTTCACACCACAATAATACGTCTCGTAGTATCAATCTACGTAATATCATACCTTCTTTTTATAATATCGTGGGTGTTTTCAGGATAAACGATGCCTGGACATTGTAGGATGATTAATTTTTGTCCTTTTTTCTTTCTTTTTTTTGTATATTAGCTCTGGGGAGGGTAGTCAGGGAGAGAATAATATATCGTCTCCCTACCAGGATGAAAATCTGTGGTATGGCCATTCATTTTTGTCTTTACGTAATTTATTTTCAAGGAATTTCCGTTACAATAATCATTTATTTTATGTACAGATCTATTAATTTCTTTAAAACAAGTTTCAGTGATTTCATGAGTAAAATAGATCAGGCATCGTCCCGCAAATAAGTGTTTTGAGGATATTTCGATCACACTGGCAATGTCGTTAATGTAAATTTAAAAACAGTAGTGGAACCATTACACTACCTTGTTGTACGTCCATATTTTTCTCTATAGTATCTAAAACACAATTACTTACCTTCCGTTTTCTATTTTCCAAATAATATCCCAACCAGCACAACTCCCCAAACCATTTCATTAATAAATAATCTACTTTTAATAGTCTTAAATACCCTCTGTAAATCTTAAAACAACGCCAATGTAACAAAATTGCTTTTAATTAATTTCCAGTCATGTAACACCAACTGCAAAGCAGCTTCACAAGTAGAAGTTGGAAAGGCTTTTGCCAGTTCTCCCACTTTATACACGCAAATTAACAGGTTTGCGGCGGATCTCACCGAAGTGGACGCGATACATTGGCGTACAAAATTATTTTATAGATGTTAATAACGATTTCGAGTAAATAGTTTAATAAATTGTGAATAGCTGTTGAAATTTTGTAAAATTATGATTTGAATATTATAATACATGTTTCATAATTATTTATAGTCCATAAATACTTGCGATTGTCCGGTTCCGCCGGTAACAATTTAAAATTACTTATTCTATGAAACGACACTGGCAGGTAAACATTACTGCGAAATTCTCAAAGCCGTCCGACGTGGTTTGACGTTTACCCCCTCTCTACCTACCAAAAGCCTTTCCAACTTCTACTTGTACTATACTAGGAAATCCTGATTGCACGTTACTTATTAGTCCAATCAAATAGACCTTTAAATCAAAATTTTGGAGGAAATACAGGAATTTTTGATATAAGTCACTTTAGAGTATTTGAAAACGATATGTAAAAAAAAATTATTTCTCAGGCACCGGCAAATGTCAAAAAACAAGAAAATAAAGTGTTTTTTCAAGGTTATTTAAAAACGGTAGGTGCTTCATGGAACTTCAAGTGGGGTCCAAACTGTCGGGATGTCGTTTTTATTAGTTCACTCCTCATATTTTTCATGTCAGTCAAGTTAATAAGTTTACTTCAAAATTTATTTTACCATATAAATTCGTATAATACATTGAAAATTTCTAATTTCAAATTGTTATAACTTATAAAAACAAAAGAAAATAATTTTTTTTTAAAACAAATTTATAATTTTTTGAGTAATTAATAAAAAGAAACTACAAAATCATTTAATTTTCAGCTCGCTATGATTTTTCCAAGTCATATATAACTTCTCTTAATTTGTAACCACCCTGTCAGTTTTAATAATAGCAAAAAATGTCAAATATCATTTTTATGTAAAACTTTATGCTTTACAATTTTTATTGAGAACTTTTTTATATAGCACCTACCGTTTTTAAATAACCTTGAAAAAACACTTTATTTTCTTGTTTTTTGACATTTTCCGGGGCCTGAGAAATAAAATTTTTTTTACATATCGTTTTCCAATACTCTAAAGTGACTTATATCAAAAATTCCTGTATTTCCTCCAAAATTTTGATTTAAAGGTCTATTTGATTGGACTATTATGCTGTTCCCCTTAAAATAATTAATATTTTGAAGATATATTATTTTTAAATATATATGATTTTATAATATGTAATACAGGTTGGAATGAACTCTCAAAACATTTTTAATAAAATTCATTATAATCAATTAGTTCAAAATTTATAAAAGTTTCAATGTCAGAACTATAATCGGATAATTATTAATAGAAGGTAACTGCTCAAATATTTCTTCAATATTGTTGTGCGAGCCATTTTCAACCAGTCCAATACTGATCTTTGTTTACGTGAATTCCGTTCAGCTATCCGCCTGTATTACGCTGCCGCTGGTCGATCGAGGTAAATAGACTCCGACGAGAAGTTACTAGAAAGTTATTTTGCACTGTACTGACTTGTAGAGGAAGGGTTTCAAGAACGTCTAGATTTCGGGACAGGTCGGGTACGCCTAATTTTCATATAAATATCCGAGTAGTAAATATACATATTGTTAATATAAATTAATATAAGTATTTGAAATATAAATCGTCTTAGTTCTAAGTACAAATAAAAGTAGTTAGTATTTTTGTAAAGAAATTAAAATAAATAAACTGTTTTAAAATAAACAAACGTCACATTGGTGTCAGAAGTGGGATCTGTTTTCGGATGATGCGTCTTCTATAATTTCTTCAATTTTTTCTGATATGAAAACCGAGTTCTCTTCTTTGAAAATCGAAATGTCTTCTATAGAAAATAAAATATCTTCTGATATGACATATGAAGAACAATATTTCTTCTGATGTTTCTTCTATACAAAATGATATTTTTTCCTTAAAAAATAAAGTTTCTTCTGATATTTCTTCATTAGATAATAAAGTTTCTTCCTTAGAAGCAAATATGTCTTCTAAGGAAATTAAAGTCTCCTTTGACATCTCTTCTATAGGTTAGGTTGAAAATGAGTGGGATGATCTCATCGCCTTCCACTGCGACCCAGATGGGTCTATTGTAGCTCATGACTAACTTATAGTTCACCGTACAAGCCACACCTTTTGATAAAGGTCATGGTTGAATTGGGTGAGACTTCTTTAAAGTCGGTAGGCTCCAGTCGGGTAAATCCGAAGTCTGGAACCTGATTCTTTCCAGAGCGGAGCAGGTACATAAAATGTGCTCTGCAGACTCGTCCTCCACGCTGCAGAATCGACAGTCCGATGCTTGTTGCAGACCTATCCTTCTCATGTGGTTGCCCAGACGGCAGCGTCCTGTCATCAGTCCAGTGAAAATGCGTAGATCTTTCCTACTCCATTCTCGGATCTGAGCAGAGGCGTTCATAGAAGCCCTGGGGTATCTCTCCAGTTCGTGAGTGTTGCACCCTCCGTCCATTTTGAAATAATTCCTTTGGCAGTGCTTTTTGCAATGCCCAGGAATGGTTCTGGTCCTATGAACACAGATTCGGTTTCTCTTTTAGCAAGTGCGTCGGCTTTTTCGTTGTCCTCCACACCACTGTGTCCCGTAACCCAGATCAAAGTAACTTTGTTCCGGGCACCGAGACACTCTAGGGTATTTATACAGTTCCAAACCAGCTTTGAGTCAACTCGATTGGAGCTCAGGGCCTTAAGGGCTGCCTGGTTATCTGCGGGGAGAAAATTAATCAACTCTCTCCTAGGTTTATTATGTCAACTCTAGGCCTCTGGCCGAAAACTCCCGCTCCTACTCTTTTTTCAGTTTTGGAGCCGTCCGTATACAACGCATAGTCTGCCTGGTAGAGGGTTTTCCCCCTCTGCTCCATGCGTCTCTCCCCGGAATGAGGACGCTGTATGGCTTTTTTATGTACTGTCGGGAACTACTCATCGGCCCAGTCTTGTCCCATCGCAGTTCTTCATAACATTGACTACTCACTTTCAGGAGCCTGTAGGAGACCATTCTGGCCTCCCTTTTCAGCAGAATGTGGAGAGGGGTTAGGTCCAGCATGGTCTCCATGGCTCCCGTAGGTGTAGTTGACATTGCTCCAGTTATGGCGAGGCACGCAAGCCGCTGTATTCCAGCCAGCTTTGCTCTGGCCGTCCGTTGGAGTCCCTTGTCCCACCAGATGACAGAGCCGTACGTAACCATGGATTTTACCACTGTTTGGTAAATCCAATAGATCAGTTGAGGACTGATCCCCCATGCTTTGCCGCATATCCTTCTAAGGGCCCAGCGGGATAATCTGGCTTTGTTGATGGTTTTATCCAATTGGGGGTTCCAGGTGAGTTTCTTATCTAGGGTGATTTCCAGATATTTCACCTCCTCCGCAAAAGGAATGGTTTCCCCAGCCAAGGTAGGTTGTCAAGCTTTCTTCTCTTGGTGAAGGGGACAATAACAGTTTTGCGGGGGTTAACAGACATCTGCTCCCTCTCGCACCATCTGTTGTATAAGAAATGAAATGTATTCTGCTGAGGAGAAAATAAAAAAGAAGGTAGATAAAATGGAACAAAGATCAGTTCCGGATTGGTTGCAAATGGCTCGCATTACAACACTCTTTACGCAGTAGTAATAATAATAATGATTTAAATCATTTGGAAAAGTAAGATTTGGTTTGTCAGAAAGATTGTCGAATTAACTATCGCAATGAAAGATTTAAAAGTGTTATTCCACATCTCAGTAAGGTTGACTTGTTTAAATCTATATTTGTTTTCAAGCATTGTCTTTTTTCTATAACATTTATATATTTGCCAGATTTCCACTGATTTGTTAGTAATAAATGTTTTATAATTTTTTAGTTTTAACCCCACCATTCCACCAGTTCTGATATTGTAAAATTTTTACTTGTTTTTTGCTACTGTATTGACAACTTTAAAAATTTTATTTAAAAAATATCGCAGGGGAAATATTCGACAGAAATTTGGCGGAACGTGTTAATATTCATCGAAAAAAAAAAAAATTGTGAGCCGGATAAATCTTACCCTATTGCCCATCTCTGGACTAGTTATTTTTCTTTTTATAGGAAAAATGAAAGCCTAATTTTTAACAAATTGAAATAAAAATTGGTATCAATATTTTTTTCTTTACTTTGAAATAATTCTAGGAAGCAGAGCTCTGGTACATCTAGCGTTACTACTTCTATCGATGATTTAAGAAAACTTAAAGACGAATATGAAGTAGCTCAACGAGCATTCGAGGAATATCTTAAATCCCCTCTGAGCTCCACAGAAAACTTTAATTTTGAAATGGAAGACGAACATTTCAAGCATTTCTTTCAACTATCTCAATATGGGAAAAAAATAGAAAATGAATACTTTCAGCAGAAAAAACTAGCTTCTATAGATGTTAGTGTTAAAGAATACATTCATGAAAATTGTTATGTTAAAGAACATGATAAAAAGAGGAATCATAGAACTAGCGGGAAAAATGATCATTATAATAGGGACAGGCCTGGAGGTATGTTTAAAAAATGTGTTTCCACTGTAACGATAATTGAGACATTGGTATACTATCAATATCAAAATTATTTTTTTTACAGGCAGAAGTGCTCATGCTAACATAAAACCCTACGATCGACATTCAAATTATCAGCATCCTCAAACTCGTGGTCATCCACCAGGTCCTTATAGGGAATACCCATCCCAACCTTTTCCTCCAAATTATAATTATACAGGTAAAATAAAAAAAAACTAAAGACATTTTTTTAATGAAATTAGCCAGAATTTAATAAGTGAGAGACTCATATTATTTGTATAGCTTTTAGGAAATGTATTTTATTTTAGATTCCAACCATTTTCAAGGACATCCTTCACAGTCGTATGGACAACATCCTTTCCAATCTTATCGACATCCTCCACCATTATTAGGACAACATCCTCCACCATTATTAGGACAACATCCTCCACCATTTGGTGGATACCCACAAGAAGCATCTGGCAATTATGGATATAATCCCAATTACATGCAACCCTATGCAGGTTTGTGTTAAATAATTAAAATTTGAATACACTACCCTTTTTGCATTGATAAAAATATTAAGGACGAGGTATCCATCGGATTTCTCGACGAATCTACATCAAATAGATTTACATCAGGTATATATTGGTTCTAGATACAATTAGTGCAAACAATTACATAAATGCAATTTTGGGAATACGAAAATATACAGGGTGTTTGGTAAACATGCAGCAAAAATGCAAGCAGAATAACCGCTTGCATTTTCTAAGAATATTTTATTTGATGATTTGTGACAACCCGCTTTTATTTCGAAGATACAGGGTCAACAAAATTTTGACAGTAACATTTTATTATCAAAAAGTACATGTAAGGTTGCTTAATCTATAATAAATGTTCAAAATGACTTCCTCCAGCTTGGATACAAGCATTTAATATCATCATTGACTGCCGGACTCTGTATCTTCGAAACAAAGCGGGTTTTCACAAATTATGAAAAATACACCCACATAATATATCTAAAGTGAAAATAAACTAAAGAAAAATTGAAAAAGCTGAGAATTAAAGAAAATAAACAATGAATGCATCGACCAAGGATGGAACCTTCTGACTAGAGCCGTCAGCGCCTCTACCAGTTGGGCTATCGAAGCACAAGGCTGCAATAGTCAAACTCGTAGATTTGAAGTCAATAATATTCCATCTCGTCAGCCCACACACACACACATTCTCATCCCAACCCAGCTCTCTCAAGTCTCCTTAAATCCACCTTTGTGACATCGTATAGAAGGACGATAATCTCCGGTTATACTAGAATAAATTTCTAAGATCCTTCATTCGTTCACAGTACTTGAAAACAGCACCATGGATCGTGATTTTTTCTAATTAATTTAATTAATTAAGAATTAATTCTGCTGTACAGATAGGATTCCTCACTAGGCCATTCAGTGTTGTGTTCTTATAATTAACAGTGGCATAGAAAAACAGTAACAACGTCAGAACACAGAACAGAACAAAAAATAGACCAATTTTTCATGGAATGCCGGAATTTTACCAAAAAAAAAACATTAATTTTAGATTTGAGTTGGGAAAACATCTACAACAGAACGGTGTTGAGGGAGAGGTATATGATATTATATTAAAAACTAGCTATTGCCCGCGGCTTTGCTCGCATATAATCGTGTTATTAATATAAAAAAATACATGACTTTTTTTATTAATTTTTATTAGTTTTATTGATTTTCATTCATTTTTTTATTTTTTTATATTTATTAATTTTTATTAATTTCTATTAATTTTTATTAATTTTTAATAATTTTATTAAATTTTATTTATTTTGATTAGGTTTTAATAATTTTTATTAATTTTATTATTTTTTATTAATTTTAAATTAATTTTTCTTAATTTTTATTAAATTTGATTTATTTTTATTAATTTTTAATAATTTTTATTAATTTTTATTAGTTTTTGTTAATTTTTTAAAATTTTTAACAATTTTTATTAATTTTTAATAATCTTTATTAATTTTTAATAATTTTTTATTAATTTTGTTTTCCCCCCTTAAAATGTGAAAATCCAAAAACCATGAAACACTTTATTATTTATTTATGATGAGAACCTACAATTCCAATTTTCAAATTCCTACCTTTAAAAAATCGATATTTCCAAATAAACTTTCACCCCCCCCCCGTTTCCCCCTCTTAAAATGTGAAAATCCAAAAACCCTAAAACACGTCATTATTAATTTGTACTCATTAGCTGCAATTCCAATTTTCATATTTCTAACTTCAAAGAGAACAAAAAAAGTTACACTCCCATACAAACTTTTTCCCCCGTTTGCCCCCCTTAAGATGTAAAAATATAAAAACCCTAAAACATATTATTATTAATTTGTACTCAGTAGCTGCAATTCCAATTGTCATGTTTTTAACTTTAAAGGGAACCAAAAACATGGATACTCCCAAATAAATTTTCACCCCCCATTTCCCCCCTTAAAATGTGAAAATCCAAAAATCCTGAAACAGGACATTAATAATTTGTAGTCAGTAGCTGGAATTCCAATTTTCATGTTTCTAACTTCATAGAGAACAAAAAATCGTTAGTCCCTTAGAAACTTTCACCCCCCGATTTCCCCCCTTAAAATGTAAAAAATCCAAAAACCCTGAAACACGTCATTATTTATTTATGCTCAGGTAGCTGTAATTTAAATTTTCATGTTTCTAACTTTAAAGAACAAAGAGTTTCATTAAAAGCTCTCTCCCCCCCATTTCCTCCCTTTAAAGTTAAAATTTCCAAAAATCCTTTCTTAGCGAATGCTTACGTTATAAAATTAACCTATGTTCCAAATTTCAGCTTTCTAGGCTCAGTAGTTTTGGCTGTACGCTGATAGGTCAGTCAGTCAGGACAAACAACTTTATATGGCGAAAAAATTAAAATATATCTTGAAGAAGGCAGGAACATTATAAGTGTTACCGATGAAACTAGGCAATCGTATGTATTTATACGCTAGATAAATTATTTAAAAGAGTATTATGTCCCAAATCATATTTCTACAAAATTTCAACAGATATTCACAATTTATTAAGCTATTTACAAGAATACGTGAAATTGAATCAGAATCAATAACAGAATGATTTGTTGTGTCATCTATTAGCTAACTGGTGATATTATCACCAATCCAGACAGCTGACATTTGTAAACGAAAAAAGTATCTCTGCCTCAGGTAAACAAATTATTTGTCTTTGAACTCTGCTAATTTGGTGTTTTGACGTCGATTAGCTTTTACTCATTTTTCAAAAAAAAAAAAAAAAATCAAAATGAAACCCAGCACCAGCCTCTTTTTGCTATGAACTACCCCGTAAACAAACATTTTTAGTTAAAACATTGTACTTGACTTAGTGCCACCACAATCTTTAGTACAATATGATGAAAAGTAAGTTGATAGAATCCATTTTTTTCTGAAATATCACTTTTTTGCGATTTCACATGACATTCCAAAGAAGACATTCTGCTGAAAATTGCAATTAAGGTTGAACTTAGGTAATAATCTTACTATTGACTTTTTCTTATTAATTATTGGTTTTTAATTGGAAATAAAAAAAAATACCAATTTTCAATAGTAAAACGACCTATATTTGAAGAGCCCAAAGCAAAAACGATTAAGGTCATTAAAAGTTAATTCTCTGTAAATTGACTTTTAAGTTTCGGAAGTCAAATACACAGAAATCTGAAGAAAAATAAGTTAGTAGACATTTTGTGCAACAGTTATTGGACAATATTATGTAAAGAAAGTCATCACTATAAGTCTTTCAATTTTTAACAAAATAAAAAATAATTCCAAAATACAAAAAATACAACACAAAAACGTTGGTTGTCATAAAAAACTTATTAAAATCGATCATAGTCAACTAAACAATATTCTATGCTTTATTAAAATGCTTTTTCACTACTAATACTACTACTAAACATCCTAACCTATACCGGGTGTTCAAATTAAAGTGTTACAGTTAAATACTGCCGAAAATATGCATTTAAGAAAAAAAAATTCAGACAAATTCATTTTTTTATAGCTGACCATAATATGGCCATATCGAGGTGGACTTTGTTTTTTTTTTAAACGGGAATCCCATTTTTTTACATATTAAAGTACATAAAAAAATAAGAAACTTTTGATGGAAATATTATTTTTATTGGACTTTTACTTTTTGAGTAACAGCTACTTGAAAATTTTGCTGGGCGAAAAAAAAGTTGGCCATATTATGGTTTGCTATAAAAAACGATTTTAGCCAAAATTTTTTCCCCACAAAACTATAAAACTTTCGTCTGAAACGTTTTTTTTTATAAAAGGCGGTATTTAGTTGTAACACCTTAATTTGAACACCCGGTATAATACTTTTATTTCTGTTTTCCCTTTTTTACTACTGCTTTTCTATGATTTCCAACAGTTTTCTTTTACTTGTTCTTCTTCCTCTTCTTTCCCAGAGTCTATTTCTATCACATTATGCAACACATTTTCTGTTTTTTTATTCACTTTTTTTGTTAATTTGTGAGGTAGATTGCCATAAAATTCTGAGGCACCATCAGTTTCACAAAACGGTTTTAATTGCTGTAAGTTTTCCCATTTTTTCAAACTTATTGGTATGGGTTCTAAAAAACAAAACCATAATGATACCAAAAATCTTAAGACTTGATCTAGTAACTCATTACCTATATACTTTTTATACGGTAGAAAAAATTCGTTGGGTCCTGGCATTTTTGTTTGGTTCATAGAAGCAGTACGAATTATTGAAGTTTCTATGGCCCTATTATAGTTTAAACGATATGAAAGATATCTGGGATGTATGGATTCTACTTGAATTTTCCGAAGTGGTTCTATTACAAATGGACATTTTACTACATAATATTGGGCTAAATATTCCTTTGACGAAAGAAGCTGTGGTCGAGATCAAAAACTTTAAATGGCGTTGGCTTAGCTCTTGCTCCTCTAATTTCATTAATCCAGTCAGCAGTAGTCTGAGCTTTAGTATTCTGATTTATGAGGCCCATATTCTTATCGCATTCAAGATAAGAATGTCCCCTTATAGGAAAGGTAATTTTTATCCTGTCAAGTCTTCTAGTAGTTACAACAACGTAATGGATATATCGAAAAATATTATAATTTTTATTTTGCCCTCACATGAATCGCAAAATATTTCGAGCTCTCTTACTCTTTTACCTAATTGAGTAAATAAAAAGTAGTAAAGCATAGAAATCACTTCCTCTGATCCTTTAGCGGCAACATTTTCTGAGTAGCAATAGAAGTACGAATCTGATGTAGAAAGAACATGGATATTAAATGAATAAAATGAAAGCTGATGTTTATAATATACATCATTAGTGGAAATATTCGGTAGTGGCAAATTTTTTTGGAAATACATAGCAATAATAATAATAATACTCTCCCTAATTCACTCCCTTACGAGTGAATTTCAACCCCTGAAGTTGACTGAACGACTTGTGTAGGGGAAGGGACGGCTATTATTATTATTTGCCGTGGCGATCTGGGGCGACTTAAAGATGATTGATGGTGCCATTTGACTGACATGTGAGGAAAACCTCACCCACCATCATCGAGATGGTAATGCATTGCGATTTTTTTCATCTGCATGTCATATCAACAGAAATTGAATTACTATTAATACGGCACACATCAAATCCTAACCGAACCATGCAATTTAATTAAAAATCCACATGGTCCGGTCTGGGATTCGAAGCCCAGCATTCTCAGACTCATAAACTTGCCTATAAATGAATATAAGCGCGTAAGACCGCTACACTACCGACCCGATAATGCAATGCTTTCATACTCTGTAACTTTTATGCTGCTCTCTTCCTTTCATAAAAAACAGCAGCCTTCTTTAGGTGTAACTCATTCTGAATTTCCAAATATCTTAATTACTGCATTAGTTCTTCTTTATCTTCTGATTGGGGTATTTTCAATTTTCCTTTGTAAGCTCAATTTCTCTGTGTTAAATTTGTTAAACGAACTGCATGTGTCGCTTCGAGGGTATCCGAATTTAATATTGAAATTATTATTAAATATTTTGCGCTAATATTCATACGAGACAGATCCAAGATTTAAATCTGTGTAGACTTTGTACTTCTTTAGATTAAGGTTCTCCGGTAGATAAACCACAGTAGTCTTTTTACGGCTATAATGACTTTGTCTCCCTTTAAAAGAACTTATGTGAGTTTTTTGCAGTCTCCAAAGTAGCAGGAGGTTTATTAAAATGAATGTGTATATTCCCCCTTATGTCTTTTGGAGACATGCCACATTTTTTTTTAGAGACTCCTGGACTCCTAAATCGTTTGTAACCGCCTTCCAGAAATTCCTTGTAGCGAAACAAATGCCTTTCGACAGACCGGAACATCAATAATATTATTTGCCCTCGTAGTTCTTATTTTATGTCATGAAATCTAGCTAATTCTTCATTTTGTCTTGGGCGACGTGTTTTAATTGGTAACACACTTATTAAACCTGTTTAATATACGAACTTCGTTCGTCTTTAGAAGACATTTCATTCAATTATTTTATAATTTGTTTACGTTCAAGAAAAAAATCTAATTTTTCAAAACATTTATACCTACCTTGGGCATCTACAGTCCTCGCACTACTCGTGGGAACACACGAACACAGGTTTAATTTGTTGTCTTTTCTTAGATCCTATATTTAACTTTTCAATTGTGTCCAAGTCACTACTACTATTTTCTTCATTATTTAGTCCTTGTGGACTCATTTTAACAGCAACAACTACACAATTCAACACGGTATGTTGCTCTGTTGTTTGACTTTATAAAACACTAGAATGTAAACAATAACAAAAATTATTTGCCCTATTGCACAAGTAACACGCACCTCGCACACATTGACTTTAACCATTTTTGCTGTGTTTACCCGTGACACTTATCGTTTTTACTGCTGTACACCATTTTTTTGTTTGTGAAATAACTCCCTGACTATGCACATTATTGCTATGTAAACCAGTTCAGCATATATTACAGACTCTCAGCTACTTTATCGTGTATTTAACTCATTTTCAGAAAAAAAGTTACTTTCATCGTTTTTTTCTGTGTGCTCTTCATTTGGAAATCATTTTGTTTAACATTTGGTCTACACATACGGTATTTAAACACAGGGATACCTCGTCCATAAAGCCCTACTTTTTTTTTTTCACAATTAAAGAAATGGTTTTCAACAGGTCACCAACAAGGTACATACCAACAAGGTCAGCAGGATACTAATAGTAATGATTATATTAGAACCAACTATAGAGACAGAAGAAATGACGATAATAAAAATAACCGTGGTGGTAAAAAAAATGATGGAAATCGAACCGAAGAGGATAACAGTGATAGTGATGATAGCCAACACAGCTCCGGGAGCAAAAAGAATGATGATAATCGAAAGAAAGGTCGTAACAGAAGAAATAATAATCAAAGTAAAGTTGATAACAAAAGAAATAATGATAAGCGAAGCAACTCCAGGGGCAGAAATTATAGTGATCGAAACAAAGAGGACAACAGAGATAGTGATGATAGCCAACACAGCTCTGTGAGTAGAAAGAATGATGGCAATCAAAACAAAGATAATAACAGAAGAAATGATGAAAATCAAAGCATTTACACCAAAAGAAATGCTGGTAACCGAGGCAACTACAGAGGCAGAAGAAATTATGGTGCTCGAAACAAAGATGATAACAGAGATAGTGATGATAGCCAACACAGTTCTGTGAGTAGAAATAATGATGGCAACAGAAGAAATTACGATAATCAAAGTAATGATAACAAAAGAAATGACGGTAACCGAGGCCACTTTCGACCTCACACAGGCAGAAGAAATTATGGTGATAGAAACAAAAATGATTACAGAAGTGGTGAAAGTCGAAACAGCTCTGTAGACAGAAGAGATGATGTTAATCGAAACAAAGATGATAACAGAGATAGTGATGATAGCCAACACAGCTCTGTGAGCAAGAGTGATGGCAACAGAAGAAATAATGATAACCGAGGAAACTACCGAGGTCGGTACCGAGGCAACTACAGAGGCAGAGGAAATTATGGCGATCGAAACAAAGAAAATAATAAAGATAATAATAGCCAGAACAGCTTTGTGTTTGTAGGTAACAGGAATGATGGTAACCGAGGCAACTTTCGAGGCCCCTACAGAGGCAGAGGAAATCATGGTGATCGAAACAAAGAGGATAATAAAGATAATGGTAGTCAAAACAGCTTTGTGTTTCTGGACAGCAAAAATTATGGTAACCAAGCGAACTCGCGAGGCGCCTACAGAGGCAGAAGAAATGATGGCGATCAAAGCAACCCCAATGGCATAACCTTCGATTCTAGTGGCAAGAAAATTACTAGTAATCAAAGCAACTCTGGTGGCATAACAAATGTTGGTAATCAAAGCAAACTAAGTGGCATAAGAAATGATGTTACTCAAAGCAGCCTTGGTGGAATCAGAAATAATACGAGTCAGAGCAACCCTAGTGGCATAACTAGCAATCTTACTAGCATAAGAACCGCTAGTAATCAAAGCAATCTTAGTGGCATACCTAGCAATCTTACTAGCATAAGAACCGCTAGTAATCAAAGCAATCTTAGTGGCATAAGAAATGATGTTAATCGAAGCAGTTTTGGTGGAATCAGAAATCATACTATTCAAAGCAACCCTAGTGGCATAAGAACCGCTAGTAATCAAAGCAATCCTAGTGGCATAAGAAATGATGTTAATCGAAGCAGCTTTGGGCGGACTCAAAGCAACCCTAGTGGCATAACTAGCATTCGAACCCCTAGTACTCCAAGCAACTCTGGCTCCATCAGAAATTATACTAATCAAGGCGTTCACCAAGGCTTAACAACTTATAGTAATTCAAGCAACACTGTAACCACAAGACAAGTTGCTAACCCAACCAATTTCGGTAGCGTAAGATCAAGTAACTACAGTGCCTCTACACATTCTGGTAATCCAACCACTTTTGCACATAAAAAGAAAAGTGACAATGATTCGTGTAATTTGATGTGAATAAGAGACAAAAATAAAGTAGACATAAGATTCATTAATAATAAGATATGGATATGATTCGGATTTAATTTCTTTGTACAGCGATTTGGTAAACCAGCAGAAATATAGGGTTTGCAGGGGCGAATCCAAACCCTTTCCATGTCGGCGGGGTATTGGCTGTGTTCATAGTGAGAGCCGATTTTTTTTATTAGGTGTCTACGTTCAACGGCGTTAATTACTAGGGTTATTATGCCAAAGGGGGTTGGGGTTTGGATCCGCCAATGGGATAAAGTTGGATATTTTAGGAAATGGTTTAATGATTCTAATGAATTTAAAATACCGATGTTGGTTTAAAGAAATTTTGCCACTTTCAGTAATATTGTTTAAGCCTTTATTTTCAAAAATAAAATATTGGTCATTTTTATTTGGGAATGTGTTCCCCATCATGTAATATATAATTCGATTTTCATTACAAACGTTTCGTATTCTCAGGGCCACCACAAAGTACTTTTTTTAAATACATGTATTTTTTCATCATTTTTTTGTGCAATTTAGCATTGTGGGGTCATCACTATTCTCAGGGCCACCACAAAGTACTTTTTTTTTTAAATACATGTATTTTTTTATCATTTTTTAATGCAATTTTGCTTTGTGGGGTCATCACTATGGTTAAATTATTAAACAGTTAGGGTCTATTTATACCCCCTTATTATTAGTATTTGTATTATGATTAAGCATTAAATTGGACTAAATATTTAAAAAGGGTATTTATACTCGTTTTATAATTAACATTAGTGCTTCTTTTTTAATAATCTTTTTTCTTATAAGGTATAATTCTGCAGTCAAGAATATGTTGGTTACTGAAGAAATGTGTAAGGCCAGTTGTGTTCTTAGAATATTTTTTTAAGATATTTGAGTTTTAAACGTGTTTTTATTAATATTTTTACTAGTTAATTTTATTTTAAAAGACTATTCAAAAATAGGTTTAATTAAGGACATTTTAACGGATTTACTTCTCAAATTAACAGATAAAAAGAAGCAGAAATTTGATACAAATCAGACAGAAAAGAGGCCTTTGTTTCCTCGTGGTGACATGTTATTTGTCAACTTTATACTCTGTAAACACTGCTGATGCACAAAAATTGTATACAGCGCATGATTTATACCGAAATATAATCGTTTTCGAGCTTGTTGGAACAAACCTATAAACAACATAATCATATGTGTATTGTCAATTATTATTATCCGTTGTCTATTAAAAACAAAGGCCAAATACGTCATTGATTTATTTGATAAAAAAGAAGAAATTTAATATTTAACTTAAAAGTTGAACTTGTCAATTATTAATCATAATTATTAATGCTAATACTAATCATAAATCGAGTATAAATGTCCCCATTACATTGTGAAGGTTCAACTTAATCCTTAATCATAATAATGAAAATACTAATAATAAGGGAGTATAAATAGAGCCTTAACGTATTTATATCTTAAGACACTTGAGTATTGATTTATTATTTTTACAAATTTCCCTTAAACCAGCACTGGTATTTTGATGGTTTATAAAATCCATAAATAAACAAAATGCAATCCGAACCACCCTGTATGACTGGAAATTATAAATTGCATATAAAAAATTGTAAAAATTTTGGGAATTATTTTATAAAGTATTTTAATCAATAATTTGTTTTATTTCATTTACAAAAATGATCCACTGACATAGAAATAATATAGAAGACCGATATAAATATAACATTTAAGCAGAAATTGAAACCTACTGTGCATAAAAACGCGTCTCTGCGCCTGACATCGCAAAATAGTGTGTCTAGAAGCATGCGCAATATGCATGACTTGTCCCTGTAGTGTTGCCAAGTATATTAAACATACCTAACAGAAAAGGATTTTAAATTATATGATTTAAACAGTTTATGGGGTCTATTCTGTAACAATTCCTTTATATTTAACGGCCTTTAAAAATATTGGCGGCCTATAAAAATATGTTCGTATTCGTTAATTTACTTCTGTCATTATTTAAACAGATTTCTTTAAGATAGTCCTCTAATGTATTTTAAAGATCCGTTTAAATAATGACAGAAGTAAAGAAGAAAATATTTTTAAAGGAATTGTTACAGAATAGACCCCTATATCTACGAAATATCACCACAAAATAACTTATAAACATTTAAATAATCAACTAATAATATTTTTGTGTAATTACATTCCCAAAAATATATACAAATACGGTATTAATGTTCAACAAGCGATTCACCTACAAATTCAATATTGACCTGGCAATAGCACTAAAATCAGGTGTTTCAAGGCTATATGACGCTGCCCTTACAGGACCGTTTGTAGTTTATTATTTAATTACACGATGAAAGTGGCATTTTAGTTTTGTGTAGTGTTTAGTTAAATCCTAGGTACAATAAAATACATTTTTACATTGGCTAATGAAAGTGTAATCAATGTATTAAGCAGCTGTTATATTTATTACAAGATTTATGTCTGGAAATCTAAACCTACCTAAGAATTATAATTATGTAAATAGAGAGCTGTATATATACAGGCTGCCCAGCGACGGGGAGACATTATCGATATCTGACAAAACAATGAATGATTTTTTGTTAAAATAGTAAGCAGGCTATGATCTTTCCATCCAAAATATTCTGACAGTTCTGTTATTTCCGTTTTATTTCTGATAGCGATGGAACATGAAATGTTGCTTATTTGGAATATATACCTTTGCACAACGCTCGTGACGTCAGAGACCGTGTTTCAGTCGGGTATAATTTAAAATAAAGAATTTTAAAATGAACCCTATTAAATTGTACTTTTACCTAACATTTATGGTACCACTGGCCGAATTGGCATGGTATACTTTCAAATGCGGGTTTTAAGGCATTTTAAAACAAAACCCGATCTCAACGAACTTAGAAACTCTTCTGTCACTCGATATTTTAATCGGTACTTCTTGTTCGCTTTTTGGTTGGCACAACAATTATTTACATTTCTTCATTCCTTACCGCGTGCGAACCAATACGGTTTAAAGAAATTTTAAAAAACCTACTTTAAAAATAAAGATGTTATTGATTTTCTCATGGATCCCACCTTCAGATCTTGACTAAATGTGTATAAAACTATTCTTTTTCTAACAAAAAGAGAATCATAGAAATCGGGCAACGTGGTAAAGAATTATCGCTCAACATACATTAAAAAATATTTCAACGAATTGAGAATATCCTCCCATTTTAAAGTATGTTAAAAAAAAAGTTAATAAAGTGCAAAGTAGGGCGTGAACATATATTATAAAGTATATAAAATAATAGATAAGGCCAGTTTAGAAGGTATTATAAATAAACTGTGGAAATATCGAGAATCTCGATTTTGAATCGGAAGAATATTCTATGCAATTTAGAATGAAAGCTGATCAAAATAAAACATTAACGACACGCTGTTATTGACGACTTTCTTCAAACGTTTTCTAGTTTTCCGAAAACTAACTGGATAGTTCGAAAATCATTTCCGTCGTTGAAGCGCCTCTTGTTCCGAAAAAGGTACACACCTGTCAACATTCATCGTTCATTAAAAAAGTGGTAGATACAAAACGCTTCGTATTGTAAGGCCAAAATATATTTAGAAATCAAAAGAGTCATATAAACAAAAAAAATCATACAAGTGAGATAACTACCAAATTAATGATTTACAAGTTTATTTTTATTATCTATAAAATAGGTTTGCAATGTGCTGATGTGGAATGTTATCATCGACTAAAAACTTTAAATCTTTGTATTAAATTGATCGAAAACAATCCATAAATTGATTTAGACTATATAGAATGTTTCTGGTAAGCAGCGACTAATTTTTATTATGGAATTATATGGTATTTTTTAATTTATATTGAAAATGGTAATATGAAAGGTTTTCTGTCTAATTGTAAGTAACGACTCATAGTCTCGGCTGACAAAATGTAAAAAAATATCGAACATAATTTCCTGGACGAAGAGCAACTGCTCCCTATTTTGCACTCCCCAGATTAAATTTAGTTGTAGCAAATGATACTATCAAATAAGATGTCAAATCACAAGCAAAATCTCGTGACTGCAGTACTAATGATTGCCTGTTTGGAAAAGTATCTTTGTAAATATGTATATGTAGGTTAAGTGTCAGTGCGCGAGTGTAATGTTAAGTATGTACAACATCCGCTCATTCTGTATATATCGGGCACGGTGGTGTAGCGGTCTATCGCGCTTATATTCATTTATAGGCAAGTTTATGAGTCTGAGACTGCTGGGTTTCGAATCCCAGACCAGACCATGTGGATTTTTAATTAAATTGCATGGTTCGGTTTAGGATTTGATGTGTGGCGTATTAATAGAAATTCAATTTCTGTTGATATGACATGCAGATTAAAAAAATTCGCCATACATTACCGTCTCGATGATGGTGGGTGAGGTTTTCCGGGTTTTCCTCACCTGTAAGTCAAATGGCACCATCAATCATCTTTAAGTCGCCCCGGAGCGCCACGGCAAATAATAATAATAGCCGTCCCTTTCCCCGGACAAGCTCAGCTTTTGGGGTTAAAATTCACTCGTAAGGGGGTGAATTAGGGAGAGTATTATTATTATACGTTTAGTTACCGACCCTAGTAGATAGGCAATTTGTTATTGCTTTAAGTTTTACCCCTTAAGTAGGGAAAAAGAAAATCAATATTAGGATAAATGTTCCAGCCCCTTTCTGGTTATGTATCTAAAAAGTATTTTAGTTTTTGGTTAAGTAATTAATTGTAACAGTGATTTTCTTGTGATAGTACCTAATTTAGATTGTGGATTAACGTTTTTGTATATAACTTCGCTGTTTAATACTAAACGAAGTCAAAACCGGAATACGTGGTTTTATTCTGGAAAGTATTTTTAAATTGAATCACTCACGCCGTTCGAGTGAAAATGTTTTAAATAGTTCAAAACAACATAGTTGTAGCAAATGATACTAAATCAAATAAGATGTCAAATCACAAGCAAAATTTCATGACTATATGATTGCCGAAAATTAACTAATTCATATTTTATGCCATATTTTTCATAGCGGATTCGACTCAAATGCTCTTGCTCGATGACAAAGCGCTTTCGGTTCTGAATTGATTTTGGGCAGCATTTTTATAATTCAAATTTATATCTAGCAGTGCACACAGCAAGCAAGAGCTAGAGTTCGACATTGGTGTAGCGCGTCTCTATCGTTATTCGACTGGCACAGTTAGCACTTGACATTTCAGATTTCTAACAAATTTTTAACGATATTTACTTATAGTTGCCAAACCAAAAATTATATCTCTATTAATTTCAAAGATTTTCCATTATCACTAATAATAAAGAGAAAGATGGTAATATATTTAAAAATATTAAATAATTCCTAACCTCCAAAATGACACTGGCACTGAAAAAAAGTACAGTTCCAAAAAATTCGAACTTTGAGCAAGAGCGACTGCCAGTCGAACAAAAATTTCACTAAGCCTTGGTACCGAGCAATTTCAGTCGAATGCAATAATTGACATTTAATTAATTAGGTTCTGTCAGTCGAACAAACACCACTTAAAAAAGTCGAATTAAATGCGCATTAATGCAGCCAGTCGAATCCGCTATTAATAAGGACTTTCAGAACCATATTTACCTTAACTTGAATTTTTTTATCGTTTTCTATATAGAATCATCTCTAAAAACGTATGATTGAAACTTCGTGTGAACTATTTGTTCAATCAATAAAAAAACTTGCATCGGTCCTGTTCGAGCCAGCACCGTTATACGCATGAGCTGCGACACACTATTTTCTCCTTATGGTTTCATTTTTGATATATGGAATCGGCTTTCTATACTATTTCTATGTCCACTGATCATTATTTTTTTTTTAATGTCAATGACTCAAATACCAAGATTTATTTTTCATGTCAATGACTCAAATACCAAGATTTATTTTTAATTTCAGTGTCTACTGGTGAACAGAGAATAGGCAAAATGTCATGAAATATAGAAACATTCTTTATTTACTAAAACCTATATATTTATAAATATAAAATTTGTATAATAAATAAAAACTTACAAAAATAGGTACATAATTATATCTTTACTTATAAAAATTAAATTAATATATGATTTATCAAACGTAGAAACATACCATATTGTTGGCAAGATATATTCGTTGTGTTGTATTCATATTTGAAGATCATCTTCTAGTTTCATTAGGATCTTCCAATTTTCGCCAAACCACCTAAGGTACATTTTTATTAAAATTTTTACTAAATGTATTATTGTGAATGTAATTTTATGCGTATTTGGGTAAATGAAATGGCTTTTTAGATTTACATAACTAGGAAAGCTGTATATTCAGAGTAAAGAGTATTACACAAATTCTTTAGTCATTATTTTTATAACTCATTTATACTGCCCATGATAAAATGAAAAATATTTCAAATACAACAATACTGTTTAAAAACACAGCCGAGTTTGTAGATATAACAGTAATTAATTTTTAATGAATGTTTACAAAGATATTAATTACTTCCAATATAGTCAAAAATGCAAATAAGACTTATTCTCTATGTTTGTTAACTGACCTTAAAGATTACAGACAGTGATAATTCTTACTTTATTATGATAATTTACATGTGTACCGATAATATTTTACATTAAAATCACATACACTAAAATACTAATTAATAGGCAGTAGAAAAATGTCAGGAATGTGTTAACAGATTTTTAATATTGTATTGAAAGAAGAATTAAAATACATAATTGATGCTTACTAAGATCATTTGTCTCAGAATTACAATACTTAAATTTGAACATCCATAAATCATTTTGCATCTCGCATCCGAACCAACTGACGTGTCTGGTTCAACTTGTAGTGTGCATTGCCATATCGATGGTTTAGCGCACACAGGTGTCAAGAGCAATTTTGGGACAAATTGTGTTAAGTACATTTACCTATTTATATGGGTACAAATAATAGTCGTTTTCTTTTTACAGGTATATCTGACTAACTAAAAGTTAGATTCTGATTTAAGCTAAGTTGTGTGACGAAGTGACTAAATTTTATTTTTAATTAATTTTAAAAATGTATATTTCAATTAATTCCCGCCTGTGGACATGTAGAAGATCCCCCGTATTTCTGTTTCCCAGGAATTACCGTTTTTCAACAATTGCGAGTACCCTCGTATGTTAAAATATTTCTATATTTGCCGAAATCCGAATGTGCATTTGTAGAGTCGATTTCGTATCAATTATCTACTTGTATTTGTACTAGTAGGACATGCTTTTTATTTTTAAATTGTAAACAGTAGGCTGTAGTGGTGGTACCCCCCCACTCCGGATTACCGGTCTTCAAGCTTGCCCAGGGAATAAGCATAAATTCGATTACAACTGGTAATTATTCTCTTTTGATTTCCGACCACCGTGGGCTGTCCGCTCTTCTCTCTTCTGTTACCGACGAGTGACGAATACAGATAGTGTCCGTGTTATTGATAGCCTGCTGAACAACCCCGTTTATTTTTCTAAGGTAGGAAACCGAATATTGTTTTTTTTTATTTACAATTAGTTGGGACACCTGTCCGACAAGTGAAAGAATTTTGATTCATGCCCAGTATTTTTCATGTAAGTTTCTTTTTCTTTTATTTATTCATTCAATTATATTTGAATCATTCCGTTTCCCGTCAAAAACTAATTCTTAAACGAAGCCCGACGTTTTCTATCATAATTAATTCACACACCGTTTTGATCGGCTTTAGCAAATCTCAAAATAATCTTTTCTATAACCATAGCCTTCGTTGTCCAAACATCACCGTAAATCATATCATTCTCGTTCGACGAAATTATCAGCGTCGAACGGTCGGAACTAAGATACAAGGGGGTTCCGAAAACTTTATTCAAATTTATAGGAGGTTTTGCCTTTACTGAACTTACATTGTAGATGGGTTAACTGTAGTCATAGTAAACTTCATTTTTATTTTATAGGGTGTGTCGTAACTACCCGTTTTCTTTTCTTTTAAACTTCTCAGTTGGTCAACCGTTTAGTTAAAAATTAATTACTCCGTTCTAATTAATTACCGTTTTTTTTATTATTTTGACCAAAATATTTAATTTTGTGTATTTGGGATATACTTTCTATATTAGTGCAGGGCATAGTGGCGCATTCGTTTGCAAAATTGTTTTAATTCGTAATTTGTTTTTAAATGTCCGGAAGGCTTTCCTGATTATAAAAGTGTAAGATGACACTCGATATTTGTTGATGTTTATAATAAAATTTAAAATTATAAATAAAATATTCCGTGCTAACAAGTATTAAAAGTAATTTTAAAAAAACCGACTTCAGAATCGTGCAGATGCCATCACCACATCTTAACCAAATTTATATGGGACCACCCCTGAAGTATCCCTTTACTAACAAAAAAAGAATCATAGAAATCGGGCAAGGTGGTAAATAATTATCGCTAAATATATATAAGAAATGAAGAGTTTGAGGATTTCCTCATGGACCCAATTATTAGATTTTGACCAAATTTATATGGGACCACCACTGAAGTACCCCCTCTCTAACAAAAAAAAAGAATAATTGAAATCGGACACCGTGTTAAAGAATTATAGCTGAACATACATAAAAAATACAAAAATATATATATACAGTGTGTTAAAAAAAAGTGTCACAAAATAAAACGGGGGGTAGTATGGGCCAAAATATGCAGAAGTCTTAATAAACATATGTCCTCAAATGAATGGTTTCAGAGATACGGAGTGTTTTGTATCATTTTTTGATTATCTTTTTTCATTCTCAAAAACTTGCTTTTCTTATCGGAGTCTACCGATGTTTTTTCATAGATACTATTTGCAGTTATTATTTTGTTGTGGGTGAATAATTTTATAAATTTTCGTTATGCCTGTTTACACTAATATTGAATTAGCTGACATGAATTTTATGTACGGTCGTGCAAATGGCAATGCATTGAAATGGAGGGAGGGCACAGCGATAATGATTTACCACCTTGTCCGATTTATCTGATTCCTTTTTTGTTAGTAAGGGGGTACCTCAGGGGTGGTCCCATATAAATTTGGTTAAGATGTGATGGCATCTGCACGTTTTTGAAGTCGGTTTTTTTAAATTTTTAATTTCTAATACTTGTTGAAAGTCTGTTAAAAATTATAAATCTTGGCCAAATTTGGAAAAAATATAGGTAATTATTATTAAAAAAAAAAAAAAAAGAATTTCAAACCCGACATCCTGTACTGTAATAATTGTCAGTATTTTATTAAAGAAAGTTGAATCAGAACGTAATAATTCGAAGCCAACACAACCATTACGCTATGGGCCACTACACACTGTATTTATGTATAATAATGGGGTCCGGAGTCACTACTATACTATTTCATAGGGACAATATTGCTATTTCTTGAACGGTAACAGATAGAAAGTTGGTTAAATTAGAAAAAAAGTTGTGCAGTTTTGTGCTCATTAAAATGTTGCCAAGAAACCTTTGATAACTACAGGGAGATTCAAAATATTGGACAAAACTGCTCAACTTTTGTTTAATTTAACCAACTTTCTATCTGTTACCGTTTAAGACATAGCAAATAGAAATACGCAATCAAATAGTAGGGACCCTTGTATGGCTACTGGCAAATCAAATAAGAAAATAATAACGTGCCACAGTACTGGCTTGGAAACTGAGGCTACTTCAAATAAAAAAATTTAAGTGTTTAATTAAAATGAATATTAAAATTGCTCGCCACTAGAAACATTGGCACCTGTTCCATAATCTCCCAAAATGCTACGAATTTTGGAGCCGTCAGCATTCCATATTCACATTCCAGACATTTTTTTCTGCCTTATAATTGACTACTTCATCTGTAAGGTCCATATTTATAAACATAACTCAATTCCGACTAATGTAAGTAGTTCAGTTATATCGCGGGAATCTAGAGATGGACAGTAGTAGCAAATATACTTCACATTTATGGATTGACTATTGTCCATTTCTAAATTCCACCCGAAACTCTTGATCAGTTATAACCGAATCAAATTCTGATAAATAACATTGGTACATTGACATAAACTAATATAATAACTAAGTACTTGGGTGTTTTTGTTGATGAAACACTGTCATGGGAATCTCATTTGAATTATAAATAATTTATTTAGTCTCAAACTAATTAATAAAGATTGCCGCTCCTGTGGAAATACTTAGGATGTTAAGCTATACCATCATTACACAGTCATTATTTGCAGATAGATAAAAGATAGAAAAACTACAAAATAATGCTATAAAAAACACTTTTATTAAATTATAGACATTTTGAAATTATGTTAATCAAACAGTATTATAAATACTAGATTTGTGTTTTCATGCACTAGGTTGTGTGTAGATCTAAGTTTTCAAACAGCCTTTATATATCGATATGAGGTACATAAATACGAGGTTTAAAAATATCCCACAGTTAAATTCAAAAATGGCTTGTGTTCCTGTGTATTTCAAAGATGTGTCTATTTATAATCGGATACCAGAGTACTTTAACAAAAAAATTGCCCTTTTCCAAACTTATTCAGAATTAAAAATAAAAATATGATACATTATTTATTAAACAAAATAGTTTCACATATTATTTAGTAAGTTAAGCAACTTTATAATAGCAAATAATTTTCATAAAAACATTAGAAGTCTTCTTCAGCCATCTCTTCCGAGACCGCTATTGGCCAGTAAAATATACTGTAAAATTATTTTTCTACACCCACATGGATATTATCTACGCACAGACTACAAAACAAAAAAGTATACTATTGCCATTAACTGAACGAATATATTTTATATGCATTCGATGTAGTGAGAACACTGCAAAAAAATGAAATCCACCAATCACAGTTCATATTTTGGTCACCCGACGACTATTATTTTTAAAATTTTAAATAATTGACAATTCTGTCAAACTAATTGTCAGTATATTTTTTAGTTATTGAACTTAAATATACATTAAAATGACTGATTAAAATGACTCGTCTTCGTGCGATATGGCCATCATATCCACTCTTGTTGCTTGTTGCACAAATTACTATTGTTTTACTGGGGAATATATACTGGATTAAGGATTTTAAATTAACTTTTTTATATTGATGGGGACTTTGGCAGTATATGCCTCTTCAGCAGGAAGATCCACCATGGACCTGGCAGGCTTTGCTAGTGAAAAAGATGACGGATTGAGCTCGTCTATATAATGTGTACACCACAATAAACAACAAAAATTCACTGCTGATTCAACAACAGACAATTTCAGATTGAAATTTTAATCTTGATGATACGGCAAAAGGCCTTTCAGCGTAACTATTTCGAAAAGGTCACATTTTTGTGTTGCATGTAACCTTTTCGAACCAAATGCAGTGAAACGGGATCAAGTTAATGCAGTTCTAGGAGCTCTAGCTTGATATTTTGTTCCTTTTTCGTACCAAATGGTTCACGTTCAATAAAGTTGTAGAAAAATCGCATAAAACGAAAATGGCCAAAATTGTCGTTTGTGCCCTTCTCCAAATAACCGATTCAAGTATATGAGTGGTTAAAACTTTATAAGGAACATGCAGGTTTAAAACAGATTTGATTTGTTTTAAATAAAAACGACGTGCACGTAAAACAAAAAGTGGTGCTCTGTTGGAGGTCGGGATAGGTCTCTCTGCTTTGTTTGTCAAGTGTGGTGTTGAAGCAGCTGTGTTTTATTGTTGTGATTGGTAAAGGGAATGGATCATTCATTTGCAAGATAGATACCAGATTAATGCAGGCAGAGATAGTGTATATGTCGTAACTATTAAATAAACGTGTTTGTTTTTTAATGATTTATTGTACCTATACCAATGTTAGAGTCATTCAGATAAATTTACGAGCTGGAGAGAATTGGCACTTGTATTTGAAATACTGAAAATTTTCCATGAGTGAGAGGACTATATTCTACGCGCGATAATACTAGTAAATATGTTGCAGGTGCAACGTATATTTTTCTTGGAATTTGAAATCCGTTACAATGCAATTGCTGCTTTTGATTTATGTAAGGTTTTTAAATTTGGTAATGCAAAGTACTGATTGAATAAAAAAAATATATTTTTCTTATATTTACGATAAATTATGGATCATAAAGAGAGAAATTGAAGTATCTGTTAAAAAGTGCTTGTTATTTTTGAAGTTTGATTGTTGTTAGTTTCAATATATGTACCAAATAACTTCATAATAAGCCTATCCGTTATTAATTTAGTTACTAATCTATTTATTTCATATTTTTATTTTTTTATATTGCACCATATTTGGTAAATTGGGAAGGAAACATAAAAAAATGATTTTTGTTCAAGAACTCACATGAGTCACTCATTTGAGTTCTGTTTATAAATATGGACCTTATTGTGGATGTTCAGGCATTCTCTTTCATCTAATCTAGAATCAAATTACTTACATTGCACATTTCCCTGACAAGCGCCTTTTCTCCATCGTCCATATCTTGTGATGTAGTATCTGACATATTTTCGCCTCCCAATTCGTGACTCTCCCTTTCCAACTGTTCTCTTACCTCGAGAACTTGGAGGGCACGTACCACCGCTTCAGGTCGACCTGTCAACATTCCAACTCCCGCCTCTTGTGGCGCTGCCAGACTTGAATCTCCTAAAAAAAATTCAGAAAAAATATTTTTTTTAATAAATGGAGTAAGTCAGATGCGTTTTTTAAGACATTAAGCAATCAGATGACACTTTTGATTGGAAAGAAAGTTCTAGAGTACAGCTAACTCTAGATATTAAGGAATAATGAGCATTTCTAGACCTGATAAAAACCTGATGGAGCAAGACTGAAAAAAAAAAACAAGGAATGAATAGAGGAATATTGAAAAATTTATAAAATAGATAATGTGTATATTAAAATATGAAAGCAAATTACCTGTTGTTGTAGCTATTTGGTTGATCTTATGCGTTAATGCTCTTTTGTCATCTTCTAGCTGCTTAACCCGTTGTTCAAGACTTCGGACATACTGCATTATTTGATCTGTAAAAAAATATTATTTAAACCTACATACAAACAGTTTATTCCAATCTGCATAATAGTGAAGAATTTAATGAATTACCATTAAAGGTACTTCGTTGCCTCGCTAAATTCTCATGTAAAATCCTTTCCCGACTCTCTGATCTCCGTTGCGGGTTACCTCCGTTATTAAACTGTTGGGGCACCGCTGGTTCGTCTGCGTTAGTACTCGAACTGGAACCATCGCCATCGTCCCTCAGGTTACCACCTGCGGTATTGCCGCAGTTCGGACACAAAGCACCATTGGCACGTTCTTCGTCCAAATACAGACACAATTCTTTTAGTTCCAAGTTGTCCTTGATCAATTCTTGCTGCTTGTTGTCCAATTCTCGGAGTTTCGTTTGGTATGCCGAGACTTCTTGACGCATTACGCTGGCTGTATAACGACCGAAACGTTGCCATTCTCGAGCTAGTTTCCGACCCTGTGTAACAGTTATTTATAAAACAGTAGGTTAGGACTTATAGTGCATTATTGTGGGTACTTCAAATATCTACCTCTGGTAATTTAATTATTTATTTTCATTTATCATGTTAAGTATTTTTGTCTATACCCTGTATTAGTCTTTTTTTAGTTTAATTGAATTTTGACAACTTGCCAGTAAGAAATTATTATTGACATTTAGATTTATTAAAATTGTTCATTTGCACCCAGTATTTTAGATTCCTTTTCAACTAGCGCATTTTTACAGTCAGTGAAGCTCTTGAGATGGCAGACAGCCACAACAACCTCTATAAATAGTAGCTATTGATTTAAAATATCAGAAGCAGATCATTAATTTAATAATAGTTTTGAACCTTTTGGCGATCGTCATCAAGAAAACAGCACAGATCTCTCAGCTCCTGATTATCATCAGCTAAATGTTGATTGGCTTCCTTCAGCGACCGCAGTTCCAATAAAATGCCTTGAAACTGCCTATTGGGATCGATAAACCTAGGATCTTCTGGTTTTCTGGCAAATTTTAACATCTCCGGTCTGAGAAATTCGTCTTCGTAGCGAATAGGTTGGCGTTGCTGAGGAGCCCGTAGATCGAGGTGAATTTGAGGAATGCCTGATTCTTCAGGTAAGCGTGGTCTTGGCGGGTTTTCTTGGTGGTGGATCTGGAGTTGTGTTGTTCGGACTTCTTCCGAGAGATGTCGAGGATGTGGTGGATACTGCAGTCTCACTAAAATGGTTATAATAAAAATAATAGGACTCAAATTAGCATTATTTTTAAACGTATAAGTGGGCAAGGTCGAGTTGTCTCCCGTCTTGAGCAGGTAGTTTTTTTTATGGGTCGAATTGTCTCCAATCATAGGTCGAGTTGTCTCTCAAGCTAATGTACATTAAAAGGTATTAATTTTCACAAATTACACCGTTGTTGCCAAATCAAAATTTTTATTTTTAAAAGTACGTTGAACTATTGATACCTTTTTCTTTTTGTAAAATGTCTCTCAGGATATAGGAACCATTTAACTACGTTGCAATAGAAAAGTAAGAAAATAATCCTTAGATTTATTTATTTCTAACGATAACCTGCATTTACACCTTAAATATTCATTAATAAATAATTAATGATAATCTGAATTTAAATCTAGTTTTAATCTTAAACGTTGAAAGTAATTTATATTTACATTAAAATCATATTAATTTAATCCATCAACATTTTTCAAATCCAGAAATAGGTACCTGCTTTCCCTCCTTCGTTTTATAAAGGGAGGTATTAAAAATAGTTAACCATATTTCATATATTCTTCACAAGTTTCAGAGATTGTAGAGTTTGTTCAAACCGATGTTGTAGAATACTTAAAAGTATGTACAGTGAAACTATACGTGTAATGGAGGCTATAATTAAAAGTGAAAAAGGCAAAGATTTGTTAGTGATCGATGGGTTTAAATTTTCATTCCACAAGTTATTAGCAAAAGACACTTCAAAAAGATGTCTTTGTGCGTCCAGGAAACGCAGTGCAAAGGTTTTATAAAACAAAATTGGACCGTCTTGAAGCGATAGAATCTTGTTTAAACCACAACCTTGGGAAATTATCAGAAGAACTTCTAAATATGCAGACTCTAAGCAATGCTGTAAAAATTAAAGCAATAGAAGATATTTCGGCAAAACCAATGGGCTTGATTAGAAAGGAGGTAAGAGAATCCCACTGTGAAACTATTACCACACATGACGTTGAAAGGATGAGAAAAAATATGTAAACTGCTAGGTCTAAAATTGCACCAAAACTTCGAACCGATATATATGTAGTTGAATTTCATAGTTTATTAAATTCTGTTACATTAAAAACTAATAGGGATGAATATTTTCTTCTTAAAAATGATTAAATAAATAATATAGTCATGTTTTCATGTAAAACTAATCTTTATGCTCTAGAAGAAATAAGTGAATTATATGTTGACGGCTCTTTCAATTATTGCCCTAATTTTTTTTACAATTGTTTACCATTCATGGTTTTAAAAATAATCATTATATTCCTCTCGTTTTCTTTTTTTTTTTAAATAAAAATACAGTGTCATATAAATTAGCTTTACAATATTTTAAAGAAATGTACCTATCTATAATAGGTCACGACTTTTTTCCAAAAACTAACTTCAGATTTTGAATTAGCAACACACAAAGCAAATTGGAGAAATTTTTCCAAAAACAGAAATTAAGGGATGTCTATTTCACCTAGGTCAAAGTTGGTATAGAAAAATTCAAACTTTAGGACTTTCCACGGAATATCAGTTAAAAGATAATTTAGAAACAGATACATATAACTAAATACCTTACTTATATTTTTGGTTTACCATTCCTTAAAGCAGAAGACGTTGGCGATTCCTTTGTTCTTGATCTCGTTGCAATTCAACCAGATGATGAGAGGGTGATTAAATTTAATGATTATTTAGTTGAAACTTATATAGATGAAATTTCTACCTTTCCTCCTAACTTTTGGGCTGAAAACTCTTCTTCTTTAAAAAGGACAACAAACAAATCTTTTCATTCGTGTTATAATGCTTCATTTTATAATACACACCCAAATTTTAACCAGTTTATAAAAGTTATTCTAGATTTTCAAATATTGTTTATTTATTTGTATAGAGTGTATTTTGTTTTATATTATATAATAAAATAATTATAATTTCCTAATTACTGTTTTTTTTTTTTAACAAAATTAGGAAATACCATTCCATATATTTCGTCAAGATATAAGATCGATTTGGTAACGTTTAGATTTTAAGGTATTATTAGTACTTATACTAATTATGTATTAAAATCATCTTGGAGACAATTTGACTGTCACCTTTTTGAGAGTCAGGTAATATTTTTATTTTGGGAAACAATTCGACTCCGCCGGTATAAGTTCTTAGAGATGGAAACGTCAATTCAAAGAAAAAGTAGAGTTGGACGAAACTGTGATTTTTTCAATTATACTTTGAATCGTTATGGTAAGGTGACCAATTTTTTACAATGAAAAGGAAAACAAAATTTAAGAAAAAAGTACAACGTAAATTAATGAAACATTTTATTAATTCAAACAAAAATACACTAATTAATGCTTACATCCCTTTTAATTATTTAATTAATTGAATATTTTTCCATTGAATGAATATATTTTGACAATATGTCATTTTCCAACATTATTTGAGTCAGCATACTCTACTAGACTCACTAATTACCTTGAAAGTTTTAATATGTTGCCAGATACTCAAAATGGATTTAGAAAAAATAAGTCAACATCTACTGCAATTGAAGCTTGCCTAGAGTTTATATATCAAGCACTCAATGATAAAAAACATATTTTGGGACTCTTCTATGACCTTAGCCGTGCATTTGATATGAATGAATGAATGAATCCGTTTATTTAGCCATTGCTATTATATACAATTATTTATTTTTTTATTTACATATTTTTTTTGTTATCTTACATAATATACACAATTGTTTAATTTGATTCTCTAAGATATTTACATAATTTTTTGTTAAACAAATTCAAATTGCTAGAGTCTTTTATTTCTTTTGGCAGATTATTAAAAAGATGTGGTGGATCATAATCTTTTATTATTGAAGATGAATGGGTTAGGAATACGAGGGAAACCTTATGAATGGATACAGTCTTACTTAATAAATCGAACTCAAGTAATTCTAACAAATAGTCTAAAATTTGATCCTCTTCCATGTACAATAGGGGTTTCCAAGGTTCAATTTTGGGCCCACTTCTTTTTATAGTTTTTATAAGTGATATAAGTAATTTTTGTTTAAGCTCTCAACAAATAGTTCAATATGCCGATGATACCAATATTGTAATGACAGATGATCAAATTGAACAGGTCACTCAAAGTAGCAATGAGGCATCTCGTGAGTTTAACCAGTATTGTAAAGATAACGGTCTGGCATTAAATGTAACAAAAACAAACTTCATGCAATTTCTACCCAAAAACATTACCAGATTACGAACCCTACTTGCACGTTGACGGAAAAACTATTCAAAGCGTTGATGACATAAAATTTTTAGGAATTTTTGAAACTATGCTATTTTGGTTAATATTTTGGGGTTCTTCACCATACTTTGAAAGAGCTTTTGTATCTCAAAAGAAGGTTCTGAGAGCCATGTATAAGGTGACACCAACAACATCATGTAAAGAACTTTTCAAGAAAACGCAAATTTTAACACTACCTTCCCTTTTTATTTTTCAACTAATTTTATACATAAAAGATAATGAGCATATATTTAAGAAAAATAAAAATCTGCACTCATATGATACTAGATTAAAATTTAACATCCATCAACCTTTTTCATGACTACAAATAAGCCAGCATTCACCAAAATATATTGGGATTAAGTGTTACAATATTAGAAGATACTACAGGTTATCATCAAATTAGTCATAATGATTTAAGAAAACATCTTTTTCTTGTAAATAATGTATTTTATAGTATAGAAGATTTTTTCAACTTTTAAACTAATCTTAACATGAATTGTCTATTACATATATTTTATTTTATTTTTTAATGTATTTTACTTAACACTCTTTTGACTAGTCTGATAGGATTTTACATTATGTACCTAGTGTCTTTGTATAGTGTATAATTCTCAAAGATGAATTAATTCTATTTTTATATTATATTGGAAATTTCGGAGCAAGAAATATTCTTCATATTGAATTTTACTGCAAATGCTGCAGCTAGAGTATCAACAAAAGAAGGACACTATTTGAGGAGGGACAAAACCTACAAAAAGACTGTCATCCCTAAAGGGGGTCGATTGGTCACCTTACGTTATGGTGATTAGTAAAGTAGGTACGTTTCCTCAAAACAATAATAACAAATAAAGTAAATATTCTTTTTGAAAACCTAAAATTGATAGAAAAACATGTAAAGAATGCCAATTTACCAAAAATAAATAAATTATAGCTCATGAAATATCACCAACTATTAGACATTCATTATAATGACATTTCTATCTTTAAGGTTTTACATGTAGGTAAATTCAATATTCAAAGATGCTTTGTGAATTCGGCTATACATTAATATGGTAAAAATGAAAGGATTGCAGTTACAAACATAATTTATGTTATTTTTATTTTTAATTGCATGCAATTGCATATTGAACAAATTACATTAATTGTTTTTTTTTTGGATTAAATGTTTTTGATCAAAAGTGAATAACCCTTTGTCCATGAATCGCCCATTTAGATCAGCTTCTTGGGTAGGTATTCTTCGATTCTAATAACACAAAATAATCATTTCCGCATCACATCCTTATCTAATAACACAAAGTAGTTATTCCCTATAATTATTATAATAAAATTATGAACTTATACTATAAAATGTCAAACATATCTAGAAGAAAGAATTTTATGTTATAGCATAGCCCAAAAAAAAGTATATTGTTACTCTTAGAAAATGAGTACCATTCTTGCTCATTATTTGTAGACTCAATACTTTTTTGTTAACTCTGAAGGACTCAATAGACATTCATCAAATTGGATTACAGATTCTGAAAACCAGGTATGTGCTTACCTTGTTGATTGTGATTTGGATACAGTTTCACTTGGTCATTTGGATATAAAAGAGTTTTAACATTCTCAGTACCTTTTTGGGTTTTCTTTTGGGACTCAGTGGGCGAATTTTTCAAAATTCCTGGCCCGTTAGGCATAGGCGGTGGTTGATACCTGGGTGGCAGAACGGTGGACTCCCCGCTCGCTTTATTAACCAACGTCTTCTTATTGCTTGACATTTTCACCTAAAAAAACTTAAGACACCATCTCGAAAGCGATCTTGGTACCTAATCTTGGGAACATTCACACATGTACTGTTTGGTCTTTAAAACGATGTGGGTCACAACTATCACATCGTAGTTTCACTTATTTTATTGCAGCTTTTGATTTCACTAATCAACACATTGATCATTGATGGTTTTTTCGGAGTTTCCAGTCACAGCGCAAGTCCAACTTGAGTGTTAAATGGTAAAAATGGGTCGAATTTTGGGCATAACCAAATAACAAACAACAAACATGGCAGAAAAATAGTAGGTAGGTACGCCGTATTCTGGCCTTCGACGGTAAGTACCTACTTTTCGTACCCAATACCCATGAGATCCCCGTCAGCAGGTAGGTATACACTTCTTATTACAGTTGTAAAGTATGCTCTTATAGTCGGAGCGAATAAGACATTTTTCTTTAATCTTATGAATTATTTAATTTTATTTCTTTCTATTTATTTTTAATAATTTTCATTTATTGTTATTTATTAGTATTTATTTTTATTTAATTTTATTTATATTTCATTTATTTTTGTTTAATTTTATTTATTTATTTTTATTTATTTTTATTTATTTTTATTTATTTTTATTTATTTTTATTTATTTTTATTTATTTTTATTTATTTTTATTTATTTTTATTTATTTTTATTTATTTTTATTTAGTTTTATTTATTTTTATTTATTTTTATTTATTTTTATTTATTTTTATTTATTTTTATTTGTTTTTATTTATTTTTATTTATTTTTATTTATTTTTATTTATTTTTATTTATTTTTTTTTATTTTTAATAATTGTATTTATTTTTATTTATTTTTATTTATTTTTATTTATCTTTATTTATTTTTATTTATTTATTTATTTATTTATTTTTACAATGCTCTCCATTCACCCTCCTTAAAATGTGAAAATTAAAAAACCTTGAAATACGTCATTATTTAGTTTACTACAATTCCAATTTTCAAGCTTCTACCTTTAAAAACCAAAAGTCTCATACAAACTTTCACCCCCCATTCCCCCCTTGAAATGTAAAAATCCAAAAACCTTGAAATATGTCTATTTATTTGTGAAGAGTAGCTAGGTACAATTCCAATTTTCAAATGCCTACCTTGAAAAAAATCGTTTCTTCCATACAAACTATCCCCCCCTTTCTCCCCCTTAAAATGTAAAAATCGAAAACCTTGAAACACGTCAATATTTATTTTTGCTCAATAGCTGTATTTCAAATTTTCATGTTTCACTACCACTATGCAAAAATCATGTCGATCCCTTGCTCTGTGAAAAACAAAAACAAATTTATCCCACCATACTTTTACGGGATAAAAATCTACTATATCTATAATCTACATACTATAATCTATCTCTGTGCCAAATTTCATCCAGATCCGTTCAGCCGTTCGGGCGTGATTGAGCAACAAACATCCATCCATACATCCATAGTTTCGCATTTATTAAGACGGTTTTCCACTAAACGGACAGTTAAACTTATGTTTGTGTTTTCAGGAATTTGAAAAATAAAAATAAAACTAAGACAAACTCAAAACTCTTGTTTCCATCAAGCGGATTATATTTTGTTACAGTTTTGTTTTTGTTTTCAATCCTTATCCACGGGTTGTTGCTGGTTGTTGCGAGGAAGTCAGAACACATTTTTTTCAATATTTTATTTATATTTATGTATTTATTTTTTAAAATAGGTCCAAATTAAAAATACATATAAAAGTAGTTTAAAAGATGTATGTGACATCATAAAAACCTAAAATGGATAATATTTGTCTGTCTCTGACACACATAAATATACTAATTAAAATTTATCCAGCTTTCAAAATAAATTACTTATTACTAATTACTTATATATAAAAAAATACGTTATTTACTTACCAATAGATACCAATTTGGAACAAAATTTAGACTTAACAACACGATCGTTTCAAGTATACAGTCGAGTTTCAAAACACGTCAAAACCTTTTGATGTTACCCATTCCGAAGGGGAATCTAGAAACAAAACTCCAACTGTCGCAAAACACGCCAGTCTTCAAAAAGTTTGAGAAAAGTTGCAGTTTTGCTTTTCGCGACACGAATTTCCCAGTTATTTTAAAACCCTATCCGATCATTTAAAAATATCTAAAACGTTAGTTATAATTATTTGCCTATTATCCCTCCAAACAATATTGGATACACCCATGTACTGTAATTTTAGAACGAATGATTCGAACTGTATGCACGATATCTAGGAATGGATAACTTGATGAAAGTATGGATACTTAAAGAGAAAATAATATTCCACCTAACATAGCATTTTCATTACCTACGATGAAAGTCACTAATAAAATAAAAATTAACCTTTTGCTTCCTCACTATAGAGTGGGTACGCAGGTACTCTGGTGTACTCATGCTGGTATTGAAAGCAATAAGAATGTAGAGGCCAGCGAGAGCGAGCACGAAGCTCTAGTAAGTAGTGTGATAGACAAATTAAAAATTTTCTTGACTATCTTTAGTGGAATCTCATGAGAACTCATTAGAGGCAAGCTTATTATTATTAAAGCTACTTATAGCGATATAGATACATATATTATAAGCGGATATGCATAGGGAAATGATTATTCTGTTTAATTAGAAGTTCTCCAGGATGTTATTCTTATAAATAATTAATAGGTATACGGTTTTCGATAGATTTGAATTTGACATTAAATCGAAAAATCTGCATAATCTAATCAAATTTTCATCAGTTTAAAAGCAAGAATTGTTTTGTATTTAATGTAATTTTTATGTTCATATAGAAATTTTAAAATGTTCAGGAACAAACAGCATTCACATTTTTTTAAAATTTTTCATATTTCAAGTATACATTCTATATTGTCGTGCGAAGCCGATTTCGGCCGGTTCGGCCCTGTTTTTTGTTGCCCTTGACCGCTCCGTTGCATCTGGCGCTGGCGATCGAGAGTCGACTGGAGGAAGGATTTCGAGAACTTCTAGACTAGCATCGAGCATTTTAGTCAGGATTGGTTTTTCCTAGGCTCTTACATATAACTATTTATGAAACCAGTTGCGAAATGCCTTATTTTACGTAACGAGTTACAAAATGGCATTTCGGAACGTGTTACATACAATATTTTTTCTAATTTTGAGTAAAATTGTGTTTTAAACTTTTCTAAACTGACGTTTAGACAACCAATATTACGTTTTTGTATTGTTAGTTGCATATGCATAATTTTATTGACAATTATTAGAACCTTGATTAGAACAATTTATACTCTGATCCACCAAGCTTGTGGACTGGACAATAACAACGTGAAACAGAAAATGGTTATTATAAATACTCCCGAGTGAGATGAGCAATAAAAATAGAGTCGCAACTTGTTCTATTGATACAATATTCACATTGTCTTTCTACCCCACTCCAGTTCATTGGCTTTACCCGAAATTCGATTTTCGTTCAGAGATTTTGTCCAAGCCAAAATTCCAATATTTTTAGTAGGTACTCACTAAGAACTAAAAATACTCGGCTAATAATTGGTGTTATTTGTATGTTTGAAATAATTACACCTACACATGCAGTTATTTAAAATGTTGTAGCTTTTACAGTTAAGTTTAGTAAATTTAAAGTAATGCTTTTTCCCCAAAACAATATTAATAATACTGATTTGAATACAATTTACGCCAAAATATTAAAATGTGCAAAATATTCAAAGCCTCTTGTTCGGAGTAGGAGGGGCGCGCGTGGCGACGCGATAGCAATGCGACGAGCGACGTGATTGATATTTCAGAGCATCGCATCGCTGTTTGGTCGCTCTCACTCTGGTCATTTTGTAAAGAGGGAATTTTGAGAACATACTTTGCGAAATAATGCAAGTAGCTCTCAAAATCATATAACGCAGTAGGCCACATCGAAAGATAATACTAAAAATACTAAACCAAATACTTTTTGGACCTGGCCCCTCTATTGGCCTGACAACTTCGGTAGTGACAAACCTAATTAAAGAACATTTCCTTGTGAAATTCAAGGAAAGATGGGATGAAAGAAGAAGCTGCAGACTTGCCAGGGAGCTTTTAAGTTATCCTGACAACACTACAGCGAACAAATACTTAACTGTGACTAGACAGAATTTGCGCCTGATCACAGGACATTGCCAAGTACGGAAGCATGTCCATATCATGGGGCTGTCAGAATCCGCACTCTGCAGGGGGTGCAAACAAGAAAAGGAGACCATCGAGCATATCCTCTACGATTGCCCAACGCTCTCATTTATTAGATGATTTGTGTTCGGCGAGAATTGGCTAACACCGGCCGATATAAGAGAAGCATCTCTTGGCGACGTTGTCAACTAAAATAAATCTGTTGACTGGCTCACGAGCTAGAAGGTGTCCATCTACTTAGGAGGATGCACAATGGGTCTAGTGAGGCCTAAGTGACGTGGGTTGTTAACCTGTTGCCAGATGAAAATTTACTGGAACAGTAGTTGAGTGGGAGAAAAAAACAGTAGATCATCGAAACTGAACAGTAGATTTTAATACAGGGGGAAATAATTATAATTTGCAGTATAATAAATAAAAAAATATATATAAGAAACGAAAAATAATAATAATGTTTGGCTTTTATATCCAAATTAGAAATGAAACAAAGAATAAAATAAATAAAATTTGTGAAACTTAATGTCAGGAGCCAAAAAAATAAAAATAAATGAAAAATAATAGGTACCTATTTCTTTCAGATCAGTCTGAATAAGATATTTCAAATATGTTGTATTCTCTGATTATGATGCCCTATTTTTTCTTGCATTTTAAATCAAAACATGATGATTCTCTGGAAGTTAAATATTTTTTGTGTGGCGCAAACCTACAATACTGACTGTATTCAACTTAGTACGCTGATTTGACTTCAGCAAATTTACTTGAAAAAATATCCTTTGTACATTTGCTGAAGAACGAGGCAAACGTAATAAATTAATAACAAAATTTGCCAAGTTGGCGAAAACAGTAGATTTTATGCTTAAAACAGTAGAACAGAGAGAAAAACTATAGATCTACTGTTAAAACAGGAGGTCTGGCAACACTGCACCCTCCACACGTTACAGATACAGAGAGACCTCTCTGTGGTAGATTGTTGTCAGTCGAATATACCAAACACCCTGTATATGTCTCTCTTAAAATATGGTAGTAAATAGCGAAATTTTGTATGTTTGATTAAATGTTTTGTTTTATGGTCACCAGTCAAAATTTAAATGTTTCGTTAAGTTGGCCGAGTAGACACTACCAAAACTATTTTTCTGAAATACCGTAACACATACTTCTACTGTATTGCCGCGTTTGAGAATCCACATCGGATGCATTTTTTACATCTCGAGCGTTTTTTTTTTCCACATCGGACACATCTGTCCCATTACATTTACGTATACTGAATCACGTGATCAAAGATTTTTTACATCTCAGATGCATCCGATGTGGATTCTCAAACGCAGCATTAGTGTACCGTAATATGAAAGCTCCTACCCATCTCCTACCTCCATGACTCCTACTTTCCAATTTCATGCCACGCCACTGAGTTCGATCCTATTTCTCATTTCTCACAATCTTATAAGAGCATGCGTAGTGAGTACCCATTTATAGAAGTTTATTCGCTATCACAAGGTGACCCCTAATCAAGAAAATAAGTAATCCTCCAAAATAAAATAGTGCGGTCGAGCCGGTCGAAGGTAAATCAAGTCTTTGTAAAATTGTCAATCGTTGGTACCAGTACTAGCTGGTATTTAAGATTTAATTCGCAATGGCCACACCACAATCGGACAACGAACGAAGAAAACAAATCAGTGTCAGGGGCATCGCCGAATTGGACGATGTGAATGAAATCAAAAAAACTTTCAACAGGCACTTGCACTACACCCTTGTGAAAGATAGAAATGTAGCCACTTCCAGGGATTACTATTTCGCCTTAGCCCATACTGTTAAGGACCATTTGGTTTCGAGATGGATAAGAACCCAGCAATATTATTACGAAAAAGATCCCAAGGTAAGTCTTAATTATTATTTTTGTGAAGGTTAATTAAAATTTTGTTTATTTTTAAATGGGAGTGTATGAAAGTCCGCTCGGCGGTGACGTATTTAAGTTAAATCAAACGACAATATTTCCATTGTTGAAATGATATACAGTTGATTTTTTGGATTTTCGTGTATGCAAACATTGTCGTTTAAAATAACTTTCGGGGTCCCGTCGACTTTAGGGACAGTGGAATAATAAAGAAATTATTTTTTATCAGAAAGAGCGTATTTTAAATAGTACATTTAAGAAAAAAAATTTGCGGTAAATGCATTATTTAACCCAAAAAAAATTATTTAATTTCTATAAAAATCAGCATTTTGACGACTGTAAACATCGAAACTCAATGGTTTCTGTCAAATTTGGAAAATATAATTGCAACGTTGCCGGATTGTGATAAAATTAGTAGTTAATGGAAAATTGTGATTGCTCATACCAGTCCATAAATATGCAACAAGAAAACGAAGCAACGACTTATCGTAGGGTGGCTACGAAGACCCCAACGGGGTCTATTCTGTAACAATTCCTTTATATTTAATGGCCTTTAAAAATATTTTCTTCTTTACTTCTGTCATTATTTAAACGGATCTTTAAAATACATTAGAGGACTATCTTAAAGAAATCTGTTTAAATAATGACAGAAGTAAATTAACGAATACAAATATACTTTTAAAGGCCGCCAATATATTTAAAGGCCGTTAAATATAAAGGAATTGTTACAGAATAGACCCCAATATTAGCCAAAACAGGAAAAGTTACTATTTTGTACTGTGAAGCTGTCTGATAATAGGCACCCAAACATAACATCTACAAGGATTTTGTTTAGAACCCCTGCAAACGTGACACCAAACAACTCAAAGTATCATTCTTGTTATTTGTATTGTAGGTCTGAAGATAACAATGTAGGCCAAAATCAGTCGCGACAATTACTAATAAATTTTATGCTGTGGTATTGATTTTGTACTTTATTTCTATTTTGATATATTTTTTTTTAACTTAGCGCACGGGAAATAATTTTTTCTACTATCCTATCCAAAGTAGGCTTTTGCACATTCAAATCTAACTGGAAAGTTGACGTTTTCCATGAATTATCATAGTTTGACATTATTGCCGCATATAAGCTGAAAGTTACTTTTTGCACACGCCTATTTTCATTGGAAAATTACTTTAGAAAAGTTGTTAATATAAAGCTAATCGGTATTTTAAAACAAAATGTAGACTAATCTGAAGCTTTTAGTTGAATATTTAATACTCAAATTCATTTTCCTTAATATTTAAATAAATAATTTAAATATTAAAAATAAATTACTCTGTTTTTAACGATCATATTTAACATGTCTTGTTGGTGTAGAGCCTAGCGCGTTTGTCTTTGAACTTGATGTCGTGAGTTCAATCCTCACCAATTATTATTATTATTATTTTTTTTATTTAATAAAATGCTGCACTCCGCTGAGCGTCGCGCGGCAACTTTTTATCTTAAGCGACAAAATAGCACTTTCCGCTCTTAATACACAAATAGCTATATTCGGTACAGTCGCAATAAAAAAAAACTTCACTTTCTGATGTTAAACACGGTATGTAAACAGGATGTTTTCAACAGGGTATAACGAAAACATATTTTCCACCGGAAGTTTGCGGTATTGCAGAAAGAATTTGCAGCAGCCCGTTCGTCTAACGATTATAATATGTTTAAAAAGGTCTAACAGATAATATGTTAAGACATTGAGCGAATTGCCTCGCGAGGAAGCCTCGGGCTTTTACTCGCGAGCCTGCCTCGGTTGAATTTGGCTCCAGAAAAAATTAGTTTGCTTCGCGCGGCAACCTTCTTATGCAAGGCAAATTCATATTGGGCCCGTTCACTTTCATTTTTGAATGTGACTTAATTATATATTTATAAAGATATTAAACTCTTTTGTCTGGTGGTACTTTTCCCGTTAAGATATTTTTGCTAGAAGTAAGGGAATTCCCATAAAATTCTTTCAGTGACTCATTGCGTCAGAAAATCCCTAATTCCGTTCACGTCTCGTATCGGTTATGCTTAAAGACGGCGGGGTTGTCGGAAGTATCCCTAATATACCATTTCTGCATTTATATATGTAATTTAAATAGTAAAATTCCATTATTTTTCTAAAAATCGTGATGTTATATTTTCAGATTTAAAGCTGGGAGCTTATTTTTTACTTTTTAATTAAAACAATTATTATTACTCAGGCTGAAAATTAACCAGACCATAATCAAAAAGTAGAAATTTGATTTGCAATATTTATCTGGTAAACGTGGCAACGTTGCATTTATTTCTAGAAGTGTGTGTAGACAACACTATTTAGAACTACTTACAACGTTGTCACGTTTACCAGATACATTTTCTCAAATAAAATTTCGATCTGGTAATATTCAGCTTGAGTAATAATTGTTTTTATTAAAATTTAAAAAAGGTAAGGTTTCCAGCTTTATCTGAAAATATAAAAACATTATTTTAAAAAAATAATATATTTTTATCATGTAAATTTCTTTAATAAATGCAGAAGAGGAATGGTGGTGCAATGATACATCCGACAACCGCGCCCTTTTAACTATTAACCGATGCGAGACCTGAAGGGAATTAGGGGTTTTCTGACGCAATGAGTCACTGAAAGAATTTTATGGGAATTCCCTGACTTCTAGCAAAAATATCTTAACGGGAAAAGTACCACCAGACAAAAGAGTTTAATATCTTTATAAATATATAATTAATTCACATTCAAAAATGAAAGTGAACGGGCCCGAAACTCTTGAGCACGTCCACGTTACCACAGCATTCGGCTCGGGCGAGGCCGCCTCGGGTGAGGCAGCGCGTCTTAAAATTAAGGGCGAGGCACGTCTACACTAAGCGAGCATTTGCTTCGCGAGGCGATTCGCTCAATGTGGACGCGGCTATAGACCTTCAAAGAGGTGATATTTAAATTTTCAGCCGGAGATAACGATCGTTTTATAATAATATATTAATAATAAATTTATAGCAAAATCCATATACATTTTTTTATTTAAAATTTTTATGGGTTTGTACTGAAAGTTTTAAACTTATACATATTGACTTTCTATTAATCTTTTAAATAAACTGTCTCATTTTTCAATAAAATTCAGTTTTCAATCGACTGTTGGACTTTAAATAAAAATACTATGAAGCGTCCCCAGGCCGAATTACGAACGGGCGGATCAAAAATTCTCGGTATTATTGCTGTATTGCAGGGGAATTTTGCAGCGGTATTTCCGTCTGACGATCATAATATTGTTTATGAAGACTATCTCCCTAGACTAAATATCAGCGACTATTGCTCTAGAGAAATAGTCAATATTTGGTCTAGTGAAATAGTCGTCCCAAATATAACACGACCTTGATTAATATTCTGCTATTTTTGTTGTTGCTACATTTCTCTAACATTTTACAATTTGATTTTACACAATTATGGCATTAATAATTAATTGATTGAATCAGATTATTAATGCCAAAAATTATGTCTCATCAAATTGACATAAAAATATTCTCGAGATTTAGATTCAACAAAAATAGCTGACTATTATCAAGGTCTTGGTACATTACTCTTGACAATATGTTAAAACGTCAGATGGAGGTGACAAAAAAATCAACAAGAAAATTCCAAATTTGAGTGCGTCTGACACTCCTTGAGCAGTGATCTAGCCATCTGACGATTTGACATACCTCATATGTGACCTCCAAAGAGGTGATATGTAAATGTTTAGCCGGAGGTACGATTTTTTTTTGTATTTTTGACAAATTTGAGTTGTCTTACGTCACGTTTGCAGGGATACTTAACTTAAGTATAATTTATAACCACCGTAACGTAACTTAACTTAACGCCGTAGAAACTTAACCTAAGATATAAAAATAAAGTCTATTTATAAATGTCCGTAACGTAATAGTTGATCATGCGTGTTGATTTCAGAGATCATCAAATTATTGTCAACCTTATGAAATAAACAAGTGTAAACTATGTACTTAACCTCTAAATAAAACTTATAAATTATGATTTTGCTATATAGAAAGAATATATTAACTACTTTAAAAGCAATAATATAAAAATATAATAAAACAAAATAGTTTACCGAAGATGTTGATTGTTTTTGAGCAATAATGAGAATTTAATCTTTCCTAGCAAAAAAGTGTTGTGTCTTATTTCAGTTCTAGACTTCATGTTTAAAGGTATATGCAGCTACACTCATATCTCATAGATAGTTTATCCCCAATAACATAAACACAAATCATTCATGATAATGTATGTCCATCAAAAAGGAGAATGATAGTTTACAAATGGTATTTTTCTATTTATTTATAAAAAAAAATAAAAAGAAAATAATTGACAGTTATCACATGCTAAACGCAGAATTATCTCATTGGCTAAGCGTAAGGTCTTAAGTTATGTTGTTAAGTTAAAAGTTGGTGAACTTTCTACGGTACGTTAAGTTCTTAAATTACGTTACGAACATTATAAATAAGTATACGTAAATTCAATATTTCAACTTCTTACATTAAGTTCTTAAGTTACGTTACGGCGGTTATAAATTAAGCTTAAATCCTCACAGATGACACTTCTCGATGGTCCCGCTAACCACTTAATAAAATTTCAGCCTGGGGTACGATCGAAGAAATGTTTAGGTATATTTACTTACGTGATTGTGTTTTCCTTTTCTATTTTAGATAGCGAGAAATTGCAATCAAAAACAAACAAAATTATATTTTTTGTACACCTACATATATTAGCTTATCAACGTACAGACTACAGAACGAAAAAGTAAACAAACAAAATTATATTTTTTCTACACCCACATGAATATTAGCTTATCTACACACAGACTAAAAAAAGAAAAAGTATACTATTGCTATTAACTGAACGAATATATTTTATATCCATTTTATGTAGTGAGAACACTGCAAAAAAATAAAATCCACCAATCACAGTTCATATTTTGGTCAC